CGTGGATAATGTTCAGAAACTCTCTCTAATAAACAAGTAATGTCATGCAGGATCTCGCATAAAGATGTTTTCAGCAGAGTGAAAGAATTACTTTACCAACCCTTTACTTATGGCTGTTGATGGTTTAAAATTGCAGTTGCACACACACAGATGTGGGGAATGTAATAGAAATGCTGACTGAGAGATGGTGAGGCAGTTTTACTCAACTGCTCACCACAGCTGCTCATGCTAAAACAACTGTGAATAGGTGCTGGTGTGGAAAAATGAATGTCTGTGCTGTGCAACTAAAGCGAGATCTGGTGTTACACAGAAATGGTAGTAGAATGCTCAAGGCCACTTTTTCCACCACCACAACTGCCTTGCCAACTCGCAATTTATGGACAGTAGGTAATGCTGAAGATTTTATTTCCATTATTGTTTTCAGGAAATCTGCTGGTCCCCACAAAATGGATTCATTTAAAAAGCGAACTCCAGACTATACGGACATTGCATACAGAGAAGCAGTTGCAAGACTCAGGTACTTGCTAGCAGAGTCATATTCCCCGCGCTCATCTCCTACCAAGGGCTCTCAGGTAAATGTGTAGTTCATTAATAAACACATTCAGAGTTATGTCAGGCACAAAGGAAAATCTGTAGCTGCTGTAAAGTTTAAAACTATTACAGAGACTTGTTTAATTTAGTGTAGTTATGGATTAAATTAAATTAAATTCGTGGTGTAACAGCTCCAGAGAGCCAAAGCCGACTAGCTTGGCTGCTGGCCTCACGTTCACATGCCTAAGCAGAGGTGAACGATCATCCAACCAGATATAGGGTGACGTGTGGTCAGCACGACGAACCCCCAGCCATTGCTAGCTTTCCTGACCAGATTACACTACTCATTGTAGCTCCCCAATTTCCTCACGATGCTGGGTTGGCACCGGTCCCATACACCGGTCAAAAGCTCATGAGAAAATTTCTTCTCCCCCGAGACTCGAACCAGCGCGCATTCTGTATCACATGATGCCTCAGACCGCACGGCTACGGCGCGGGACGTAGTTATGGATACAGCTGTCATATATTAGCCCAAGTGATCTGTTATGAATTTTTTGAAGTTTTTGCCATGTTGGTAAACAGATGCATTTGACTAAAACCTAATATCTTGTACAAGTATTTGAATTTTCATTTATGTTGATATCAAAGCCTGCTTTTAAAAGGATCCATAGCAGTTGTCTCCACTTCCAATCATTATAGATTGTGTCCTACACCTGTGTTAATTTATTAATTTATCATTTACTGTATCTGTAAGCAGGTAATCATTTCATGTTATGTTTAATTAATGTAATGTTCAGCAAAAATGAATTTTAGCATTGGTTTTAAAATGGTGAAGTTTATAGGTATATATACAGACACTTCTAATGTGATGACTTTTAATCATTTCATGAATTATAACAAGAACAACTGACTCATCCAACCACAGTGTAATATCTACTTATTTAGTGGTAGACGTGATGATGTCATTCAAGGTACACAGTGGAAATTATAAAAATGTCCGTTGATAGTTCTGTAATAGAAACATGTTTATTTTAACAGTGTTAAGCCCGGTCTACACGTAACGGTCTTATCGTACGTTTTGTTTGATCAGTTAAGACGTGTCAGTCAAAATGTTACGTATGGACAGAGAAACGGACGTTTTGCCTGAACTGAATGAAGATGGACGTCTCTCAGAAAACGGATCGGTTAGAGCATTGTTTTCCGGTAAAACGTCAGTCTTTGTAGCTTCTACCTGTCGCTAGAAATCTTAGAGTAGCAGTCAGTCTCTCATGGGGTGTGATAGCCCTTCTCATGGTAGTGTCCTTTTTTTGTATTTCTGGAGTTACTAACGATAGTAATTTCAAATAAGTGTCCGTATCCATTCGAAAATAATTACGCCAATCTCCAGGTTCATGACGTAATTCCCGAAGCAAATTCACATGAGAGAATCTGCCCCTCTTTAGCAACCATCCTCTAGACCACCGTGAGCGACGAACAACTTTCCTTTTCAATTTCACGAGACACAATGAAATAATCGCTACAAATAATACCTCATCCATGGTATATATGAAACTGAGCAGAAAACGGTAGCTAAAACGTAAATAGCGTGGACATGGGATTTTGGTCAGTTTTACCTGATCATCTTAACTGATGAAACAAAACGTACGATAAGACGTTATGTGTAGACCGGGCTTATAACCTCGCAGGTGATATAAATGTGAAGTATCCAGATGAACTAAAATAAATTTAATTTTGACAAACACAAATTTGAAAATGACAGTCTGTTGTGATGATATGTACCTACAAAATTTCAAATAATTATCAATGTAATACATGGGATCAACACACATACCCAAAGCAGCCACAAAACATATGTTGACATTATAAAACAGTGAAATTTGTTGTTGAATGAGTTTTATGTTAACAATTGCAGTTTTAAGGATAAAATTGTTGTGATGCTGTTGCAGATTCTTAGAGCTGATGACAGTGGAGATGAAATAGAATCTGTGGCATTAAGTGAGAAATCTCGTCATCAGCACCAGCATGTCTTGACTCCATACAAAGCCTCCATGTATGGGTCCAAACGTGCACTGTACACAGATTCCACCACTAAACTACCACAGACTTATAGCATCCAGAACTTGCAGCACACAGCACTGGGAATAGGGGCAGGAACAACAGAAGGCCCAGACTCATCTTTGAAACCTGAAGGAGGTCTGCCTCCTCCTGAACTCATGACGTTTATTGAGCGGCAGGAGGAATACATTGAGCAGTTGGAGAAGGAGTCACAGTACTGTAGAGTATGTGATGTAAAAATCAGCATGCAATGAAACAATGATTTTACCAGTTTTTTACGATGTAAAGTGTGGTCTATCACCGTGACAGAAGAACAGATTACAAATATTACATTTTAGGTTCCTCCAGCAGTGAAGGTGTTTGATGTTTGTCTTCTGAATACTGATGCCGTGTGGACTTGTAGGTAGACGTGTTTTGGATGAACATACTGCCTCAAGCTTTACTTCGCCCCTGAAAATGGAGGCAGTATGTTCGTCTGAAACATTTGCATCTATCATCAAATTCAAACATTGGCACAAGATTATAATTGTTTGAAAATAAAGTGCTCCAGGAAAATTAGTAACTTAAAATAGGCCATAATTGTGTCTTTCCACGTTGTTCCCTATTAATTATTTGTAATTTTTCTATGCAGTTGAGAAAGCAGTGTTAAACAGGGCAAAAAATAACTGTTCCAGGATGAATTAGCTGCGTTGTTGAGCAAAGTGAAGGAGGTGATTTCTGAGAATGAGGGTCTGCATGAGAGGGAGAAGGCAGGTCTGCTCAAGTCAGTTTTTGACTGCTTTGAAACAGGTGATGAAGATGATCATGAAATGGAGCCTGAAGAAAAGGTAGGTAATGAAGCAGCATCACTGAGGACAGTTCTTATGTGAACAAACTATTGGAAGGATAAGCATGTAAAGACAAATAGATGATATAATTTTTTTTTTCAGTTCTGACCACTTATATCTTCATGAGTTATAAGAAAAGTTGAAAGTAATCAGATTAATTATATTTATGCAAATGTATGTTGTGATTTTTCCTCATTTGCATACTCTAAAATTATGGTGCAGCTAATAATGATAATTTTCTTTTGTGGCATGATAGTCGGTCTATTGCTGTTGATTATGAAATGCTGCATTGTGGGTTTCTGATGCAGAGAATCAATACAAATATTTCAGTAATCATAAGTTTGTTAACATTTGTTTAACAGAAGATTGGATAAATGAAACTGCCTGAATCAACACAAGTGATATGATTTTATTTGGAAGGTTGTTGACTTGTCATTGATGTTTTGGCAGTGGAGCAAGTTATTGCCCTTCGACAGGAACTGGTAGTTAGGTTGTACAGATGAGAACTTTTAACACAAACATACCTTTAGCAATAACCAGTTAGACAAGAGACACAGAATGCCTAATGAACATGAATTGTAGTCCAGTGATTTGTCACACAGACCAGTATTATTCTGATAAGTAATAGCAGAGGTTGATGCATGTTTTGTCTCTTTTCAATTTCTGTTTTACTCTTCTCTCTTTCTCTTTTTTTATCACCTGCATCAGCAGTGTGAAGTTGTATTCATAATTTGCAGTAAATTAAAAATACATTTAGCAAAATACTTGCTGAGTGCCACAGTTATGTAGATCAGCTACTTGAAATTGTGTTATTGTAATTGAAATGTAATTAAATATGGAAATAAAGTGTAGGCTGTATTCATAAACATGGAAATGCACAATTGAAAACACACGAAAGTTGTGTTTGGTCACCATGTCTTGCCATCTAATCCTGTGAGTAGTTCATATGCACCTGTTAATAAATACTGGAAGTTTATAATAAATATTGAGAGAGTGTATCCCTTCCCCCCCTTTTAATATTGCCTTTGCTTGTGATGTATAAGTTTGACATATATATATACAAGATCTTGAATTTGATCTTGTAACTCTACGGGTCTTTAATTATGGTAAAGTTGTACCCTGGAGAAAGTAGTAAAATTTAAGCTCATGACTCTACGCTGTGATGTGAATGCACTGTGAAAAGAAATAGATGAGACTGAAACTATAGAATGTGGTCGGGTAAAATCATAAGGTTTAAAATACTGGTGAGAAATCCATGCCTGTGGCCCATGGTCTGATTTAGTGTGTAAGAAACTTATTAAGAGGCAGTTCTAAGGCACACACCAACTTCGTTATGTCCACAATGTTAAAAATGTAAGATGTAAGAATGTTAATTCTCTTTTTATTGTATTAGTTTAAAATATAAAAAGAAATTAAGTAAAACATACATTTTGCTATTTTGCTTTCAGTGCAGACAAGGTTTTGAGCTTTAGAAGTTAGCCCTCATGCAATAAAAGTTTGAAGACTGGTGTTTCAAACAATTCCTGAGTTTTCCTGGCTTTTCTCTTTCAGAACTCATAAGACTAATTCATTACCTGGCATGGGTTTTGATATATTTTGAGTTGTTTCATCATTAAACTTGTCATCCAGATGACTGATGTTCTTCTCGTGATTTCAGCCTGAGAAGCAGAAGCGAGAGAACAGCAAGAAACGTCTCGAAGGCCCAAGCATTGTGTTTGAATCACGGATAAGTGAGCTTGAAGCACAGCTGACTCAGACCAAGATGGACCTGAGGAAGGCCCTGGAAGAAGCTGACCTTTACAAAAAGAAGCTGGCTGACCAGCCGCTGAGCTTTGAGACCCACAGCCCATTTAGTGCTGCAGACTGTCACAGTCATCAGCAGCAGATTGAAAGTTTACAAAAGTTAGTTGAGAGAAAGTTATTTTCTGAATTCGTTCCGTCTGCCTTTTCTTTCTTGATTTAATCGCCTTGGCAGTATTAAGTGTAGTGCACAGACTGTAAATATTAGGCAATTATATGTTTATTTCCATCTACACAATTTATTTATTCAGTATATGATTTATATGTAATTGACTGTATGTTTCAGTGCCATACAAATTGTCCTCAGGCCTTGACCATTCTCTCTTACTTCAGTAGTTTAAATATTGTTCTAGAGCTGGCATAATTAAAGAATAATTTCCTCTCCCTTCATGTTTTGCTACCAAGACCATCACAAAAAACTCAAGCCAGTTAACTATACCTCCTGACCTTAAGTTTGCTTTGCCATCCAATTTAAGTATTAAGGGGTAATCACTTGCACTGAAAATTTGCACATGCTGCTGTATGAATGTGTATTAACCCTTTACAGTCCCTTTTAAATACCACTATGGCTCTCTGCTGGTCTATGTAAATACCACTAAGCTATGTAATTTCAATGTCATTTTATCTGTGCTTACCTTTGTGGTATATATATGAGTCAGATGTTTAAAATTGTACTTCATAAGATTATGTAGCTACTGCGTTCTTACTGATTATGAATTTTCTTAGGCAGATAATATATATATATATTTTTTTTTAACTAAACTTGACTGGCACATCATTCATTGTACATATTATTGTTTGCAGGGAGAAGGATGCACTAAATGAGAACCTGTTAAAACTGCAAGCTGCTGTCGCGCAGTTCCGTGAGAAGGAGGCAGAAGCATCACTTAAAGTGAAGCGCAGCCTGGATGTGGTAGACCAGGCTCAGTTTGAGAAAGCTCAGGTATGTTCTCTATCTGACCTGAGCAGGTGACTTGTTTAGGAAGATATTTATATCCTCCTCATACCCTTTAACCCTGTGAATGTTGGATTCAAGCTCTTATTGTGTCTACTGACCATTGTCAGCATTGGATGTAAAGCAGAATCCTACCTGAGCAATGTAGTCTTTCACTCTTGCTAGGTGACAGCAGCCAAGAAGGTCAACAGATTATAATTTTAGGTATTAAAAACAGGTTGTGGTCTTCATCACTACCTTCATAGAAATACTGGCATAGTATCCTCAGATAAATTCCAGTGACTTCTAGATTCCTTTCAGTTTTCCATTCTCGATTGTCTTCCATTTTTTTTATGTTACATATCTGCAGTTGATATGTCAATGTTAAATTATCTATAAATATGTCGGTCTTTTGTACTGTTGTTATGAAAGTAGCCATTATGTCTGCAGCAAAATATTGTTTGATAGTCACTGACATTTCTACCAGGGTAGATGGCTTATAATAAAGCCTCCTCCTTCTTGTGGTTTCATTCATTAAGTCCTCTTCTAGATTCCATTTGAGGCTTTGTCTGTTCTTGAAAGCTGTTTATATCCACCATTGGCCTGATGAGCATTACAGCTTTACCAGAATGCCTTTTTTGGAGTTTGTAATAGGCCTTCCAATGTGTCTGTCACAGTGATGTAAAGCATGAGCAATGTTCCTTTTCAGGCTAGTCCCATACTCCAGACATGTCCATACCCCACAACATGGATGCACAGTTTGATTTTGGGATATTATTTCATAATGCATATTCTGTATCTTACAGAAGTTATCTGAAATAGTGCTTTAGGGGTAACCCTTGTGATAACAGGACCAACTCTGTTGGTAGGTTCAAAGTGCGGTTGCTGAGGAAAACATTGGTATGGCACTGACAGAGAATGAAACTTATAAAGTTGAGGGGAAGAGTGTGTTGCAGCCCCTAAAATGGAGTGTTGCAGAGACAGATTATGTGGTTACAAAGAGCTCCTGTAAGTTGAAAAGATTGTGTGCCTTTCTTTTATGGTATTGGTATACCCGCACATGAAGCCCCTTTAATCTTGTCAGCATTATATTTTTCTCTGTCTTCATGCAGTTTTTGTTTTCAAAAATACCAAATTTGTAACTTACGTAATTTTTCAAGCATTTGTCATAACCAGCATTCTGGTAGTCTGATCAGAGACATCCTAAATTTAAGTTGTGAAAATTTAAATAAATAAGATTGAAAATGCAAGTGCTTTGATCTTGTTCTTGCACTGCATTTTGTCATGTCTTTCAGCTCTTCTTTGTTTATACTTTGTGTGATCGTAAGAATAGGTGAGAAAACAAACAGTCTTATTTTTAAAAAATCCAGTTTGTCACTTGGCTCACTGTGTGCTCTAAATGTGTACCTGATACAATGTTATACATTTATAATGTGTATTGCAAAGTAGATACAGTGTAACAGTCCCTGGCATCATGTTAGGCAACATTTCTTTCTGTAACTGTTTATGTCCCCATTCCAAAATTAAATTTCCAAGCTCAGATTTCAGAGAACATGGTAATATGTCTGAGGAACATAATAATGTGTTCTCAGATGCAGAGGGTAATAAAGTATTGATGCTGTATAGTCTTAGCTGCTGAAAAAGCATTGTTAAATAAACAAAAATTAATAAATACAAAGTATAGTAATGTTCAGAAGTTGTTTGTCATCAGGGCTCTGTAACTCACATAAACATTAGATGGATTATCTGAAGTAGTGTTACACTTTTGGGAGCTGGCGTAGCTCAGTCAGTATAGTAACTGGCTATGGACTGGACGACCGGGGTTCGATCCCCAATGGGGGCAGAGGGTTTTTCCTCTAGCCTCTGCATCCAGTGTTATACTTTAACAGGTAAAATAAATTCCAATTGAATACTCTAGATTAATTTGTGAATGGCCAGATTGGCTAGTTACACTTGATATTGTTGATTCCTCAGAACAACTCAGTTTTGTTGCATTGCAGTTTTTATTTAAAGATTCTGGTTCTGGAGAAGCTTCTAGAATTTCAGTTACTGTTACATCATCTGTTAGTGGTTCCATATTAATGTAAATTTTCTAAGTGACTGCATGCTCAGCTCGTGGCGATTGGCTGTGATGTAGCACTGATTTTAACCAGCCACAACAAAAGGCTTATGGTAACTGGCCCAGATCTTATCTGCAACCATTTACAATTTCAGATATCTTCCCAGCCTATTTCAATTTACATAATTTTGATATTTTGTAACCTAGTAGTAATATGTTAATCAGTCTCATTTGGAAGTATAAATCTACTACATTGTTGGACTGTTTAGCATAAGTACACTTTTTTATCAATGAAGTATCTGAGTAAGTGTGCCCCTGGGTCTTTTGTAAATATACTGAACTGTCACACTAGTTTCCTAATGTCCAGTGTCTGACAATTACATTGATGTGTGATGAATCCAGGTCTCAACTAGGAGACTTGCTTGTGTCATCAGAAACAGAGAATTGCATGATGTGTGGTCCTTTAGGGAATGCACAGGAAGAAAACCTCTGTTCACCTGTCACACATGCACATGCTTACTGTGCAATGAAATAAATGTTAGTAAACTTTCACCTAACATTGGGGGGATATCTTGTGTTGACCAGCTACAGTAGGAGCATTGATGAATGATCTTATTTGATGTATGTGGTTTGCAGATATTTGAAACATTTCTTCCCAGTGATTTGTTTGTATTGTGTATTAGACTTGTTGATGATTGAGTAGCATTTTGTTATATAAAAATTTGAATCAGATTGGATGAAATGGACTAATTTTGGGTTTAATTGCCATAAAGTAGGTTATAACCACTTTCTCTCAAATCCCTCATGATTCATCATTCATAATCATCCTGTCATCTCATTTAACATTACATGACTTTGGCAGTTGACGTATGTCTTAAAATAAGAATAAGCCAACTGCAACAAAATATGCTAGAAAACAGACTTTTAGAACGAATATGGTGACTGCATGAATTATAATTTTTATTAATGAACAGAGAGGTACTTTTTTTTAGTTGTTTCGTTTAGGTACACTCAAACACAAACTGTTTGTACATGCCCAGCTTCCTTAGCTGCACCATGAATCAGAAGATTGTAGCATGGCAGGATGTGCATTGTGTTGCGGTGTGTGCTTAGGTAAGTGCACTCTGACTTTTTTCCCTTGTTGATATGTGGAACTGTCATAGAATACACAGTGATACATAGTTGATGCATATGTGTTGATAATTGCAGGTGCTGCCAAGAGAGCTGACCAAAAAAACATGCACACTGAGATCACACAGGTATGCCCTATAAGATGGGTGCCAGGCATATTAGAAATCATTTAAGTTAATATAATGCTATATTGTCAAAATACCACATACATCTTTATCTAAAAATTTTTGTGTTTAATAACGTGTGTCATATTAAAGGAATCTTGTGTGTAGCTCAAAGTGCTACATATGGGAATATGCAAAAGACAACAACAGACTTGGCAACATTGCTGTAAGCTGTGTCAGCCATTAGGAAAATTAGGAGACCTTCAGACTTCCCTTTTCCTGTCCAATTATCAGATTACTACAAGACAGTCTGCGCTATATGTGATATTCTCAGCCTTGCTGTCTTTATTTGCAACTGGTTTTCATTGCGTTTACAATTAACTAATTATTTTGTTAAGCTAGGCATCTTCGATTTATTTTAATGTCTTCCTACTCAATAAAATTACTCATGCATTAATAAAAAAAGAAAAGTGGATTTCCTCATTTTTTTTTGAAGGTTGTGTGGTGTATATTTTACTTTGCTGGAATTTTTTATTTTGTTTGTAGATAAGGAAATACATATTATGAAAGGTATCGTTATAGTTTTGGTGCCATTTGGTGTAAAAATAATTCTGTATTTGAGGCGGAGAAATAATTTTTTTATATGTAGCATATTACAGGGGTATAATTAAGAATTAGAAAGAAATAATGAATTACTGCTACATTTTGGGTTTAGAAGAGAGTGCTTTGTTATTGTTCTATTGCAGGGAATGCCCCTGGAGCTGGGCATGACTCAGTTGCCATCTGCTGATGGTGGTTGCATCCCAGACCTTGGCAACCAGTCTGTTTCAAGTGCATTTACAGGAAAAAAACACATGAAGAAAAGTAAAGTCAGCACATGTGCAAAGAAATCTGCTCGCGCTTGGGAACAGGCTACAGCGTCAGAGTTGGCAGAACACAAGATGAAACTTCTTTTGTTGGAGATAAGAAATGCAAAGTTGACTGAGAATAAACTCAAACTAGAGGTGCTTGTTCATAAAGCAAGGTTGGAATATTACTGCAAAAGAAATGCAAATTATAAAGTTACAGACGGAAAATAATGAAGAGGGATCATTGACTTTTGTAAAGCTCTGTGCTTTTGAGACTTAGAACTGAACATTGCTTTATAGTTAATACCACTTCTGCTTCATATTTGGAAATTCTTAATTTGAATTCTGCTTATTGGATTAGTATATTGACTGTAGTTTTACATAAGTCATTGGCCTTGTAGTGGGATAATTAAAGTGTATTTGTTTGTGTTGTTATTAAATGTGTAAACGCACCAATTGAAGTCATATATAAAATCTTTTCGTTCAGTGGCCATTCTTGTTTTTCTGTTGTGCTGTCTTAAATTCACAATTTATTTATAATGCAAAGAGTAATCTGTGCCCATTGCTGTTTCATTTCTTTGTGTTCATATTCTGATATCTTGCAATGTAATTTGCTTTGAGGGACAATTTAATGGGAGATAATGAAGACTTCACAAGGTGTTTCCATAATATTAACACAATGTATTCAATATGTAATGCCATTTTTGACCTACTTTGAATATTCATTCCATCAGTACAACCCAAGGTTTATTTATACTAAATCTCACTTCACCAAAGCAGATGTTTAGGGTCTACTGCTGAATACTCCATGAGAGAAAGGTTACCAACATAAAAATGAAAACAAACTTTTTGAAAACTGATCATTTTAGCCAATGTTACCATAATTTATACCTCCATCTAGATGTCTTGAAAGTCCATAATTTTGTCATTTTGTGTGGAGGCATGACAAATTGATAGAATATTGGTTGGTGGAAATGTATATATTTATAAGATTGGTATAACAAATAAAGTGTTATTATTTTGTTATTTGGCTAAGCAGCCATAAAGAATTTCTACATGCTTTCAATGAACATAGAGACCTTTATCATAATTTAGGATGAGATATTACAATTTCTGATAGTGGACATTAGTGTTCTGTTTGACTATCATTTCACTTTTGTTTCGATGTCATTGCATCAAAGTTTTGTCTGCTACTTGTCAGATGTTTATTAAGTGCTTGAAATAAATAATAATCACTTGGTGCCAGATCAGGACTGCAAGTTGTGTTCTAAGATGTCACTTGAAACTGCAAAAGTTGATAAGTTGTGAATAAGTGGATAGATTTATTTGTTGGACAACTGTTTTAATCAGTTTGTCATGTTGAAATGGATCATGCAAGCAATGCTTACTAGTTGGCACAGAATTACAGCTACAGACAGTGTGGGTTGTTTCATTTAAAAAGTATATTATGTGAAAACTTACTTTCTTACTGTCTCGTGTACTCTTTATGCCTTTTAGCTGTGACTGAATAAAGTGTGTAGACTGGAATAACATTCAGAGTTATTTGTTGCCTGAATTAACAAATTTCTATCTTCAACGCAACAAACATGTGGAGAACAAGTATCATGATCAAGTTTTAAAAGTGCTCATTATTGAACTAAGAGTTTATAGTATGAAAAAATTTAGACTGGGTTTTAACTTTGCTTTTCTTGGAAAATGTTTTATAACATCTGCGGTCATCATACTATTACTTTTTATTTTCACCGTGTACATATTTTTCAAATGTATAGCTGTTCTGATGAAAGTTTTTTTATTTATTTATTTAATTTAATTCTGTCTGTGGATCTCCATGGTACTCATTTACAGTTTTGTGATGTTTGATAACCAACAATATAACTTTGTGACATCACACCTTGAAATAATATAAGACCACTTCCTGTCATGTCAAGTACAGTTATTAATACTTAATTATCCTCTCACCTCATTCAACACCAAGTAACCTCTGCATCTGGTATGGAAATTTTATATAACACATGAACTAAGTTGGTTATTATGTCTGAAAAGTACCTTCTGTCCATGTGTGTATTGAGAAGACATGTTTCTTTATGATAAAATATCACATTCATTTAAAAATGAGTGCTACTACTTCTGATTTCATAATTGGGAATAAATTTGGTAATAAAATTAGTGTACAAATAGATACAGCTGAAGAATTAGTGTGTTCTGTGTTTATGCATAATGTGTGCTTACTAGCAGTTTTGTAACTTTAAGTGTTAGGAAATCTCTCAAGTTTTATAGGTGATTCTGATGGTGTAACAGTTAAAGTTGAGCTTGTTGGGGTTGTACCAACAGGTACTACTTGAAATGATTGCAAATTTATCATGTTTTGTAGACAATAATAATGGTGCAAGAGTTGAAATTTGGGCATATTGGTATGGCTCTTGAATTGTTTCTCTCTTTGCAGGCAGAACTGGAGGTGCGGCGGCTGAAGGATGAGCTGGACCGACAGCATGAGAAGATGCGGGAGTTGTTACAGGAGCAGGGCCGCAAGGTGCAAGATGAACGGATGCAGCTGGAGCGACGTTACACACAGCAGATGGAACAGCTCAATACTGACCTCACTTGTCAATGGGACTCCTCCAGCAAACTTCAGCTTGAGCTTGAGAAACAACGCCGTGTCGAGGTTGATCTCCGCAGGGATCTGCAGCAAAAGACAGTGACGATTGAAGAACTTAAAAAGGAACTTCAGAATAAGATTGGTTAGCTTCTTTAAAGGATTTTTTTCTGATCTGCATGTTCTCATTCTCTTCCTCTGCTACTTCGTTATCATTATCATCTTCCTTCATTCCTTCCAGTAACAGTTCAATACTGTCTTTTATCACCCTGTCTTTTGCTTTATCTTCAGTATTTTTTCTCCCTGAAATGTAGCTCAGCAAAGTGAATTGCTATTTATTGCCTGTTTGCATGAGGTTCAATTATCAGCCGGCACAGGTGTTTCACTTGGCCACTGTATCCAGACTAGATCTAGAGCTGGCTTACCATCCTGTCCATTGGTTACCAGGGACTCCTTAGAAATGAAGCTGTTATAGGTCGCGCGAGAAGTGCTGGCACTTGCGCAAAGGACTGATTTTGTTCATATGAGATGGACCCGTCCGAATCACACGCTAGAGGGATGTCAACTTCAGTTGGTTTGTAGCTCTAGCTGTGTTTAGAGCGGTGTGTCACCACAGCTGAGGCTGTACAACCCTCACTATTAGTGAACTCCCCTCTTCGGCTTACACATCACGCATTTAGGTGTAACCACTACTCGCGCGACCTTTACAATCTACCTTAATACTTGACTGATGCTTAGAGGCTGATTTTACATTACATTTAGTTTGTATATATATTAAGAGATGGCACAATCATGCAAAAGACTTTCTTTTCAACACTTTTGTTTCATTCTTGGGAATGTGGATGTCTCTCTTGTATTATTCAAGTCTTGAACAGCCTATAACACTAGGTTTGGTAGTAGCTGGTTTTATCCAAATCAAAGGGATTGTGATGTGGATTGCAGGCTCATTGCAGACTGAGTTGGTGCAGGCAGCTGTGGATCGTGGGTCTTTGGAGCAGGAGCTGGCTGCCAGCAGACTGGTAGTTGAGAGGGCAGAGCGTGAGGGCAGGCAGGAAGCATCTAGACTCCAGGCAGAGGTTGCCGCTCTTCGTCAGCGTCTGGACAGAGCTGACGCGGATCTGATGCATAGCCGAAGGGAGAATCTGCGACTTACAGAACAGGTCGCCTCACTTGAGAGAGAGGTATGGTCAGACCAGAAATGGTTCTGGTGCTCTGTGAAGCCAGTTTATAGGGGCTGTTAGCCATTCCTGTTCTGACAGTGTTCTGAGTAAAGCCACCATACTTATTTGATACTGCAGTAGCTGCTGAGTATGTGCAACCTCAAACGTTTGTAACACCAGCACAGTTATGTCTGCACATAGCAAGACAAGCTTGTGAAGTGAGAAATGTGCAAATAAACCTTAAATTTTATGTCTATGGTGCAGATTGAATATATATTTTTCAAATATGCTTTAGATGTTTCACATTTCTGTGACAATTACAGTGCATAATTTTGTACATAATATTTTTCATGTGCATTCTGTAGGCTTGTCTTGATTCCTCATATAAAATGTATGGTTCCTATGTATGTACTTATTTAATGTGTGTGTGTGTGTGTGTGAGAGTGAGAGAGAGACATTTCTCAAGTTTTTCACAGCCTTATCAGTACCTGGATTCATACATTCCATTGGAATGCACTGGGGAATACCATGCCACAGCAAAGTGCACTGCCATCCTTTACATGTGTGGTGTCATGAATTTTAATTTCATATTCCAACTCTCAGAAATTGTTTGCACCCTTGTATAGTGTATTGGTAGCTTAAATTTTGTGTGCGGTCATTATTGGATGGGCTCTATAAATGAGCAAAATTTCAAGTGAGGTTTTGACCGGACCAACCAGACCAGTTCTTCATAAGAGCATTAGAATATGCATTGTTTGCTGAATGAAGGTTTTACTGTGTTAGGCTCTTACAAATTATATTAATGTAGGATTTGAGGTTTTCATGGCAGTGAGTCTGAAGATGGCTGTCTTCTGGGTTGTTGCACCATGTATTTTGGTAGAAGTTTACTAGACCACACAGCGCAACAACCCAGAAGTCAACCATCTTCAGTTTATATTCAAATGCAGAATTATGTTTGAAGTGTCTGCTGTAAAACAACCAGGAATGGGTTAACGATGGCCCCAATTCATTGGCTGTCTGATGGTGGTGATGATGTTTAATGTTGAGAGAATGTAGTGTTGGTATTACAGGAGTGAGCCTTATAGCATTTTTTCTTTCCTGTATGAAAAATTTATGCTGATACCTAGTGGATCTGAATTCTGAAAGTTTGTAACAATGGTGTGTTGTTGAAGTAAACTGTTTTCTGGATATTATCCATTGCCCAAGACTAAATAAAATCAATAAAAAATCATGATGTTTCGGAGATGGGAGTCTTAAAATCAATAAAAACCATTGACGTTTCGGAGATGGGAGTCTCTGTCGGAGATAGACTCCCATCTACGAAACGTTGTGGTTTTTATTGATTTTATTTAGTCTTGGACGATGGATAATGTCCAGAAAACAGTTTACTTCACCAAGTGGATCTGTGTACAGGTGAACCTTGCCAAGATAACAAAGGAGAATGCTGATAGGGGCTCCTTGTCTCCCTTGAAGCAAAAGACAGGACAGCGAGAGAAGGAGCTGACTGCAATGATAATGGATATGGAGGCTAAGCATGGTGAGTTATTCAATATTCATACTGTTTGGTCCATGTAGCTTATAGCACTGGTTCACTCATTATAAGTAGTTTGCAGTAGATACCGGGGTGACTGTCTCATGGGTTCTCAAATGATGACATTTATTATGAATATGTGTGATTTATGGGAGAACTGAGAAGTCAAATTCTGTGATAGAGTGGAAAGAGGCAGCAAATATCATGAACATGATTTTAGGTTGTGATGTCCAGTGGCAGATTTTGGTGTTAGCAGGATTGGACTTCCTGGTTCTCTTGTCCCAGTATTAGTTAAAAATATTCGAATTGTGTACATTTTTTATATTAGTACATGAAGTGAGGCTTTGTGTAACATTTTATAATATGCTGGTTTCTTTATGGTGAGGAGCTGTTAGCTCCTGCCCAACCCCCAGGTTAGAGGGCTACACCTTCTCAGCTGTTTGCAGCTGTTTATTCATTATATTTGCATCAACTCTCCATATCTGGAGGCCTTCAGCATTCACAATCTGAGGATATGCCATGCCATGTTAACAAGGGCCCCACTTAACATAGGTACATACAGTGAGGAGATCAATGTTAATAATTGCCCAACTGATTGTATCTATCATAGCTGGCACTAGCAGTTAGCAGGTTCTTCTACTACCCTTTACCTCTACCTTCACCCTTTAAAATTGATTTTAAATTTGATGAGGTATAAACAAAAATTGTATGTAAAGAATACGTTTGGAAACTTCTCAGTACTCCCAATTGTAGGGATGATGAGCTGAATTCTCTTTGTTCGTCAAAAATGTGATATTAATCAGCTGCAGTTGAATGCATTCCTATATGAATAGTAATTACTTGAGAGCCACTGATTCAGTCATTATTTTGATTTAAACACAAAGTTTTGTGTTTGGCTATCATCTGTGTAGCTTTGAGTAAAACTAATTTGAACTGCATCCAGAAATGTAGTTTATAGTTATTCACAGTGAGCTTAACTAGTAGTATGGTGGCTTGTGAAGTAGCTGCTTTTGGGTGGATCTGAGGAAAGCCATGAGGCAGATACACTAATCATGACAAACTGTAATGATTGATTTTTATTTCATACCAGTAAGACAATTTCAGTCATTTACATTGTACACAGGTTGGCCAACAGTATGATGCCTTTCCTCTCTTATTGCTGTATTGTCACATGTGATCTCACTTCGTAGTTGTAGTTATGCATTTATCCCACCTCACAGGAATTTTTTTAAAGTTGAGGGCTCATTATTTTGTATTTCCCGTTCTTCAACTTTGACAGTGTTTTCCGTATAGTGTGTTGTGTATTTTCCCAGGAAAATGCATCTTAAATTTCCCCCGCATATTATGGTCTAAGAGTAGCAGGAAAACATTAAAACAACTGAATTTTATGTAATGTGCTTGTAAATTGTCCTTCAGATTACTCTTCAGTTGTCAGGCAAAGAACTGTCAGTTGATTTATGCAGCACAGCGCTAAAGCAATTGTTCTGTCTGCTGTTGAAAAATGTCACAAAGCCCATAGACTCTTCTAGATAAGTCACCAGTAGTGAACATTGGGTCACTTGCCATCCTTTTTTATTTCATAGGATATAGAGCAGGCCTGCCCAATCTGTAGCTCACGGGCAACATGTTGACTGCGATACAATGCTATCTTGCCCGTGGAGACATGTTTTAACCCTTTCCCTGGCAACAGCACGATAGAACACGAACCAGTTCCAACCGTTTCCTGGCAAACTATGAAAGAAAACTTACACTTCTTCTACATTCCCAAGTGACCCTGTCATAAATCATTATTGTTAGCAGTTGTTCTTGGTGGGATTAAAATAACTTTATTGACGATTGCCGACACGTATTGTTATGGGGATGCTTTCTAGTTCACGACTTGCAGATACGCAGGCGCCAGCAGCGGCTTCTTTCTGATATTTTCATTGCTGGACTTACAGTCAGTTTTATTGTGCAAAAGACCACACCTAAGTTAAAATCTATGTAATAATATTTTAAAAATATTATAAGCTTTTTATTTATGGTGACATACATTACATTACATTATATTACTATTTCATTTTGTAAAAATGTGCTAAAAATAAACACATTCTATCCGAGGTTGTGAATTGCATTTTTTACAGATTTTTCAAATTATTATCAGTATATTTTTGTATATAATATATAGAAAAATATGCACATAAAAGTATATATATAATAATACATATATATTCTACATTTTATATATTGAACTTCACGTTGCCTGCATACAGGCCAAATTTTGCCGTAGTTGCCCGCACAACAAAAAAGGTTGAGCAGGCCTGATATAGAGGGTGATACACTAGACTTTGTACAAATTTTTGGTTCTGTCACAGTGGGTGCAAAACATAGTTTCCTCCCGCACTAAGTTTTGAATGAAACGTGATAAATTATGCTAACAAAATTGGAATGAGGCAGCTTAAATACATTTTGGTCTTCTCATAACAGAAAATGTGAGGAGTCTTCAGAATTATAGATACAGTTTAATGTCATACCAATTCTTAAGCAAAAATAAACTGTCTTGCTGGAAAATGGTTGGTAAGAGTGATACTATGATTTTCTTTATCACATAATTTCTCTTTATGTTGTAGGCAAAATTATATTCTGATTATTTACTCCACTGACTATTATCCTGTTTCTTTGCTGCTGTTGGAAGGAAGTGTCAATTACAGATACTTTCCATTTAAGCAGTGATGATATACTTTGATAGAGACATTGTTTTAGGGTTTGAAGAGCAGTGAAGTAAGATTTTGTTATTGCATTATTCTAGCAATGTTGTTACCCCAAAGTAACATCAAATTAATTTTGGTGTTTCAATTTCCAAGTAAGTTATATCCTTTTCATTACTAATCAGTATTATGAGTTTATACGAGCTCAGAACTGCAGTTTCAAAAACCAAAAGTAAGCAAAACTATAGACATGGTACAAATCTGTCATGTAGTGCAATGTATGTAGGCAGCCATATTGGTTTAGGAATTACTTGTTTTTGTACATGGAATATGTTAATTTTACACGCAGAAGTGAGTGATATTTCCATGTTTTCACATATTAGCATTTCTTATATTGAATTACTTTTTTATTTATATTTTTTGTGAGTACAACCAAATCGTATACACATGATGACCACATGTTGGAATGTCATTCACATTGTAGCCAACTTTACCCTTTGTCAGAAATAAGCCAACATTTTGTAAGCAACCTGATGAAGTATATAACTGACATGACGATACTTCTGGTCTGTGAATGGAAGTTATCTCCATAGTACAGGGCCCCTTGAAAAGTTGTTTTTCAGGTGATAGGGTTCATCACTGTGTTCACAAAAGCCCATCATTGATTGGGCACTGTCCTGAGCTAGTTTTAAATCCAGACCACATGTTCTTAACCATTCAGTGGCATTTAGAATTACCACTCTATTTTCTCGGCAGATGAATTTTTTCCCTTGTTTCTCGACAAAAGATATTTGAACATTTACACCAAGATCATGATAAGGTATGTAGATAGATTTTCAAAGGAAAGTATTTGTTGCAGTGTCTTGTTCTGATTGGTGCAGAACCAATGTTAATAAAAGGATGCAGTCAATGTGATGATGAAACGTTAGTTAAATGAATTTCAGAGATTAATCCAATACACCTATTCCTCAATTTACAAACTTATAATTTATGAATTTCTGCTATAAGGAATCTTGTGAAGTTCTTTGTTAATTTATGAATATTGTTTTTGCTACAACAAAGAATCAAGCTTTGTGGGCGAAGCCTCTGCTTTGAAAGTTACATATTAAGGAATACAGGACTACACATCACATGGAAAGTGCAAGGCCAATTCACTATCTTCAGTCTCACTTCCCTTATGTGTTCAGTAATTTAAGGCTGTAATAAAACTAAATGTTTATTCTTTGTTTATGGAAGTTCTAATGTTTATACTGTAACTACAGTAACTGTTGTACAATGTAAATATTTTCTTTAACAGTTCAGTAGGGTTTTACTGGTTAAAATGGGCAAAAACCATCATAAAAGAGGAATATTGTTCTTATTTTTATAATTGTTTAGTATTCTAAAATGTGTAGGAAAAATATTGGGTGATTTTTCTGGTTGTCAGGGACCAGTCAGAATTTTTTACTTTGAAATTAATGAGAATTTAATTTTCAGTTTATGAATTTTCACCTTATGGATAGTTATCATTAAATAAATTACGTTTGTAAATCAAGGGATGGTTGTAATTGACTTTAGGAAAAGGCCCATGCTACTATAAATGTTCAGTGATATTTCTTACTGTATTTTCAGATTTGTTTTGTTTTCTAAAGTATTGTATTCTAAAATGACTGAGGTTATTTTAAATCTTTGGTGCAGCCTGTAACCCCATTGTGTGACTTACTTACAAGCCAAAATTTGACATCCTGAAACTGGACAACTGATCATGTTAGATTTTTAGTTTTTGTTCTATTGCCGCTGTTCAGGAAGATGCCAGAATAGTACCTGAAAACACTACATAACTGGTTCATCCCATCTGTATCTATACTAGTTAAGAATTCACTGTCTGTCTGATTTTCTTACTCACTGCTGTATAACCTCAGTAGTTTATACAGCGTCATCATATAAACCACTAAACAAAAACTTAGAAATTTAAACTTGGACATGATGAGCACAAATATTGAGCTGTGGTCTCATATCAGTCCAAACTGTTGCTGAACTTGACGGCATGATTCAGTCCCACAACTAAGTGAGTTGTTGTGGTCCCATTTCAGTCCATAATGTTGCTGAACTTGAAGGCATGATTCAGTCCCAGAACCAAGTGATGGAAAAACTGAAAGATGAGTGTCACTCACTAACAGAGAAGCTGGAGGAGTCCTCCAACAGGCACAAGTAAGCGGTCCCTAAATGCTCCACAATGGCGGACATTCCTCAGCTTCTGAACTTGGTGAAACAGCAAAATGGTTGCATTCCTATATGTTATTGTTGTTCTTCAAAGACTTTCATCATGATTTGTTGTCACTTGTGTTATTTTTGTTTCTTTCTGCCATCCTTGTTTTGTTTTGTTTTCTTTCAATTACTGGTGGCACCATGTTGTGATAGTGGGTTTACCTTCATTTCAAGTAACTACATAAATTAGCAGTTACTTATCTTCAAGGCTGAAGTGACTTCCAGTAAACCTATATATTATTATTATTATTATTATATGCTTGGCCATGAGACTGACAAAAACATCTGTAAGGACATAGGAATTCTGTAAGACTGTAAGGTGTACTAGGTCTGTGGTCAATTATTTTACCCTAAATATGGAGACTACTTCCAAATTCTGGCAAACCAGTCCACTGCAACGTGGTGTCATCACACAAAAATGAAAACACAAGCCTTACTCTTCTCATTTGGCTGTGAAGCTGGCAGTACAAATTTTGTTTAGACGCTGAGGAACAAAGCCATTGCATCATAAAATATTTTAATGTCTTAATGGTAAGAGTACTTAATTTTTTGTAATCTGAAGATGCTAAATACTTAATTACATTTAAAAATGGATTTTGTGAGAAAGGGAGTAAAACTTGTTTCCCCACAGAGGCAGTGTTAGAAGAACATCACACACTGATGTCTCTTCAGTGGAAATGTTTAAAGTGTAGGCAGTGTTTTATTTTCTGAGTTTGTCTGTGGGGACCTTGCTCTTGTCTCTCATCTGACCTTTTTTATGTATACTTTACTTACCAGGAGTTTCCCTTTAATTTTTAATTAAAATAACAACAACAATAATAATAATAATAATAACTATCCTGATAAAACCATGCAATACTATATTAAAGTACAGTAAAGATAATAATTAACAATATATGTGGCTTGCGAAAAATTACACATCCAGGGGGAAGGTACAAATACAAGGGTTCAGAAATGATTATGTCAAGCCTGGAATACAGGCTGAGATATGATGTGAACATCATATTCACAGTTTATCACACTTCACACTCCCCACAGAGGTCAGTGTTTTGTTGCCATCTTTCTGGTAATTTCCTGATGGATGGAGCAAACTTGTATTTTCTGTAGTACACAAACATCGCACTGCAAGTTGTCATTGGGGAATTTGCAGCTGCACAATGGCTTCCATGACTTTGTCAGAAAATCCCACAACAGTGCAAAAACAAAGTGGCACAGAAAGTGTTGGTTCTGCATGACAATGCCAGACCCCATACCGGTCATCAAACAACACAGACAATGGCATCTCTTATGTTCATTGTCCTGCCTCATTCACTATATGCATCATATTTAGTCCCTTCAGATTATGCTGACAAGATGATTATGTTTGACAAGATGAAGGAGCCATTATGTGGCCACTGATTCCCTAACAAAAATGACTTGCAGTGTTGTGTCTGTGAGTCACTGCATACCACCCAAAAGACTGGTTTGCTACATCCATCGGAAAATTACCAGAAAGATGGCAATTGTGTATTGACCTCAGCAGGGAGTATGTGAAGTGTACTAAAATGTGATTATGCATCTGTCATCTCTCAGTCTGAAGATTGCCGTCTTCTGGGTTGTTGTGCCATGTAGTCTGGTAGGTGTCCACCAACATTTCAGAGGTCATGCTGCCTCTGTCATCAGGGAGATCGCCCTGATGTTTCAGGTGCAACAACCCAGAAGACAGCATCTTCAGACTCACTGTTGTGAAAACCTCAAATCCTACATCTCTCAGCCTGTATTGTAGCCATGTCCCCAGGCATTTCTGAACGATTCACATAGTAAACATCAACCCTCTTACTGGCAAGCCTTGTTCTGCAGACTGTAGGAATTATGCAACTTTTTAAAACCAAAATTAAATAAAACTTAGGTGGAGGCAGTTGCTGCCTTCTGTTCACAAGGTCTTGTATTAAAGACCAGCAAGATACACTGTGAAGATCACTGAATCCCTAACCTCTGTCAGAGTCTTACACTGTGAAGATCTCTGAATCCCTAACCTCTGTCAGAGTCTTGACTCTGTGCAGTATACCAATGCTTCATCATGCTTTGGATCTCACGTTGCACTGTAAGCCTCCTCTGTTAGCAATTTTCTTCATTATCCTATCACTGAGTGTAAAATAGAAATAATCCAGTGGATGCATCCATCGAAAATGTGGTTTCCTACCTTTGACCTTTAGGCAGAGGGCAGAATTGTCAAAGTTCATGCCTGGAGGTATATGCTGCAGTGTTTCACACATATGGCAGAGATCCCTGTGTTAAGATAAGGATCAGAACATGTTATAAAGCTAATGTGTTTCATTTTTGTGGTAATTACATGCAACAGAAAACCAGTGTCTAAGTGTCAACATCATGGTTAAAATCCAGTCAGTACATCCCAAATTAGCTCAGTTGGTCCAAGAAAAATATTAATTAATGTATCAAGTGTTTTTAGTAACTGTGTAATTGTTAATGCACATACATTTAGTCCGTGTCAGCTACAAACATATCTAAAGTGCAGACAATCATACTCATTCATTACTGTATACAGAATGGCTGTATACATTATTATTAATATATGACTTGCTTATCAGTTCTATAGTCATTATACATTCATTCATACTTACATTCATTACCAAACATTTCTTCATAAAAATAATTAATTTTGTGACACTGGGTTCTGCTTGATCAGCTTCGTAATTTGTACTCTTCACCGTATATTTTTAGGGTTATGAAATTACGGATTTTGAGACACATGGATGAGGTGAGAAATGCATACAAAATTTTAGTCATAAAATCCAAAGGGAAGAGACCACTTGGAATGCTGAAACATAGATGAGAGAATAGGGAATAATATTAAAATGAGAATTAAAGAAATAGGGTGTGGTCTGGATTCAACTGGATTATGATATAGTCTAGTGGCATGATCTTGTGAACATGGTAATGAACACTCAGATTCCATAAATGGCATTTATTTAGTTAGTTTAGTATGGCATGGAATATTTACATTCTTTTATGTTACAAGTGGTAAAGCATTATTGTTACTTGTTAATGTAAACAACTTTTCTCTTAGACATTCTAATAAGAGATAAGCAGTAAAGCATTGTATTAAAACATTGTTATGGTATATTATTGCTTGTAAAATTGACTGCTGGAAGCAAACCTAGTTGCTTGCATGTCTTGCCTGCAGACTGAAGGAACCGAACATAATCATACTGAGTGATGTGTTCAGTTGATTCAGTTGACAACAGCTTGAGTACTGAGCAGTCCCTCCGTCTCATGCTAGGAGCTGAGCGGGGTGGAGCAGTCCAGACCGTATCTCAGGGCAACCCAGGACAAGTTAAAGTAGATGTTTCTGTTAAAGTGTGTCCCAAAACTCGTAAGGTCAGTGAATTATTGTCATTTTGTAAGTTGTGTTTACAGCCCTCTATATATCACCAATTGCAATGTGTCCTAAGTGTAAGGTTTTTTAATCTTGTTGCTTTTTGACATTTCACTTCAGTCCATTGCTTGTGCATTAACCACATACTGCAAAATTCAACTAGTGTACATCAAAGAACAATATTCTCCTTTCTGTGTGCCATTCAACATCACTAAGTTATAAACATGTGTTCTTGTTTGTCTACATTGTGCTGCCATCTAATAGGAGGGGTATGAAGTTGTGTATGTATGCCACTTGCCTGTTGAAAGTTTTAAACATGATTTTTACACTTGTGACAACCTTTATAAATTTTAAGCATTTATGTTTCTTAAAAAGTGTTTTGTGAATATAGTATTGAGTATTTGATAGATATGTTGGTAATTTTTGTGATACACACACACATAATGAGTTCAGAATTTTACCTTAAAATTACATTCTTGTAGGAAAGCAGTGAAAAAATAATGTACAGCAAAAGAGTTAAAGAATTCCTTTCACAACTGAAGCTGCATTTTCTGAATAATAACATGTGATTTAAAAATGTTGTGTTAAATTACAGATAGTGATCTTGATGATGATAGAATTCATAATAATTTTTTTCTTGAGCTACCAGCCATGTAAGGTAGCTTAATGAAGAAAACATTATTCATTAAGCCACCTTACATGGCTGGTAGCCCGAGCAGAATTTATTATTTAAAATTATTCATTGTCAGGACTTTTTCCATCGTCTGTTCTTTAAAACCACGACGTTTCGGAGGCTGATTCTGTCTCCGTCTTCAGGCGAGAGGTACCTACTCTGGTCACTTACAGAGCTGTATGAGCGGTCTTATAATTTTTATTTTATCATTTAAGTATTATAATCTACTGACAGAACCTGTACTTGGGTGGATAAGTTGGAATAATTGCATGATTTATATTGTCCAGTGACAGAGACTAGCTCTATCTAAGGGACCCAACAGAGTAGGTACCTCTCACCTGAAGACAAAGACAGAACCAGCCTCTGAAACGTCGTGGTTATAAAGAACAGACGATGGAAAAAGTCCTGACTACAAATAACTTTAAGTGTAAACTACTGTTATCAAAACCCTATAGAATTGATAATTTATTATACTTAGATGCCATGAAAGCTTCAGATCATATGTGATAGAATTTGAAGATTGCTGTCTTCTGGGTTGTTGCTCAATGTAGTCTGGTAGAAGTTTACCAAAGCCTCCATCATCAGGGCCCTGATGATGGAGGCAGCAAGGACCTCTGAAACGTCTGTAAACTTCTACCAGACTACATTGCACAACAACCCAGAAAACAGCAAGCTTCAGACTCACCACCACGAAAACCTCAAATCCTACATGATAGAATTCATTTGAGGGTTTCAAAAATTAAGATATTAAATGAACAGTTACTGGAAAGATCGTTGACAACAAGGAGAGACCAAGTAAGAAAATATGTACAAAAGGAAGTAGAGAAAGAGTGGTATAGATGAAAGGGAGTAGTGCTTGTGGGAGGGTCAAGTAGAATGGAGAAGGGTACCATAACCTGTTGGAAATGTCAGTGGATAATGATGCTGATTTGGGGTTTATTACTTGTGACAAGAACTGGAGAATATAAGGAAGGATACATAAAGACACAACTTTACTTAAAATATAATGTTTTGTACAAAATTTATAGGTGTGTTTGTGTCCCATTTTTGTTCTGAATGTCACATCTCTGATAAACGTTCCTGTTTTTGCTAAAAAAAACTATCATAATGTAAGTTTTAACTAATTAATTTGACATCAATTGGAAGATGTGGAAAGGGAGACTAAAACCTTGTATCTAATTTAAATTCATGAACCTATTGTCAGAAAGAATTTGTAGAGAAGGGGAATGCAGTGATTGATGGTTCTTGAGTACATGAATGTGAAACCTATAAAATGGTGTTTTATCCATGTTGCTAATTTACATTTTATTAATAAACATACCATGAATATTGAAGGTGTGGAACATATGAGTAGTTTTATATTTTCTTGGGAAGTTGCAACAGTGTTTTGTCAGTTCTGAGTTTCTGTTTTCCATCAGCAAAATTTGGTTTGGTACATAGGGGGCTGTATATAGTACATTTGCACTTTTTGAGCATGAAATTTACTGTGTAAACTTGCAGTTTCATCTTTATTGAAGTGTGACAAAAAAATGTTTTCTTCCAGCTTTATCTGAAAATGCTGAAAGTAATGCTGAAATAAATATAAGTTAATCCATTTTAATCTCTTTCTGTGGCATTTAATTGTTATGTATAGTTGTTTAATTCTTTGTGAGGTTTGAAGATGCTGTTTAAATTGCAGAGGTTATTTAGTATTGAATGAAATTTGAAGATAATAATATAATGAACAATGAGAAGGTAAGGTTTGGATGGGGACAATGTTGCATATTTCAAAGTAATGTCTTGGCATTTATTTACATGGACAGCTTCAGGATAGGTGGTAATCAGGTACCTCCCAAATATAAGTAAACTCAATTAAAACTGAACATTTCAGTTTTAGGGGTGGGTATGTTTGACTTGTACAGTGGTGCGTCTGAATTTGGAGTATATAATAATCTCAGACATTTTGTTATACAACCTCTTGAAATGAAAATGTCAGAAATACAGTATTCAGTTGCCACTCCAAAATGAGGTAAATTGAAAGAATTAACAAATGAGGAATTACACATAATCTATTCCTATGTGCATGATAGACAGGCAAAGATAATGGTAACGTTACCCTTGTACATAATTATATAAAAACATATCTGCACCATCTGAGCTGTGAACTTTCTGTTATTTCTTTGTAAATAGTTGTTATTGTTTGGTTTCTAATCTTAAGTCTCTTATTCTAACAGTCACTTACTGTGGCAGGGGATTGTTATTTAGATAAGCTAAAGACATGGTATTTTGAAATTGTTAATTTCTTTATTGATGAGGCATGGTGTTTCTGAATCAGAAGAAAACACTGCTGATGTGTGTGGTGTTAAACTTTGGACAAGTGGAAGATCTTGCAATGGTATAACCTTGTGACTTGTCTTCCTCATTGTGACAAACTGCCATGTGTTTGAATTATGTATAGTGTTTATTCCAGGCCCCTTTTTATTGGGGGTAATATCTGCAGTGTAAATTGTATGGAGCTGTATTATTCACAGGCGGGAGAGGGCCTGTTTAAGAGAAGACAATGCGATGTTGATGGATAAACTTGGGCAGCTGTGGGAGATACAGAAGCAGCAGCAGCCCCTTCTTGTAGCGAGTAGTGAACAGGCACCCCACGAGCAGGTCAGCACTGGCAAGCTGTCTGGCAGTGTATGGTTCTGTGCTTTGGTTTCTCAGATTCTGTGGACTCACACCTTTGTTCAAGACACTTGATGACAGAGGTTTGCTTCCTAGACCTATCTATGCATAAACAAGAAGTTCTGGGAAGAATCATAATTTGTACTTTGCTTCAAATGTGTCAGTTTATATGGTGACACTAAAAAGAATTATAAATTAATAATTTTAGAATGTAATTATCCATTTCTGTGCACATTTTCTATTATTACAGGTTCTGTCTACATTTATGACAGTGAATTTCTGGGTTCCATAAAAGGAGGGAATTTATTGGCCGGTTGAGTAACTGTCAACTTTTTAAAAAAGACCTTATACTTTATAGGTAGTATAATAAAATGGTTATGATGAAATATGCGAAACTACAGGAATCTCTTACACCTTATGTATAGTTAGGGTTGTGATGCTGAATAACTTTTGTTTTTGAGGTGACTTCTGGGATGCTGCCCCATAAAGTCTAGTAGAAATTGACTGTTCTGACTTTGGCTCATGACAAAGTGTATTAATAGGAAAAAATTATGTTGCCATACATATGCTTGTACTTCTTGAAAACATACAATGAAGTGACATCTATGAAACCAAATTGTGATATCCTCTGTCGTCTTGTCGCTCTGAACAGGTGCAGAGCCACCTGTGTGCCACATGTTCTGTGTGATGTTTCTCCTATTGACACTCTCCTTCTGTCTTTCAGGGAAGAAATGGCTGGGCTACAAAGTAACATAGATTTCTTAAGTAACAAACTTGAAGCCTCATTTGAGGCACAGGAGTGGAAAGGTAACTCAAAATTAGGCACCACTAAGCATAACACAGGCTTCTTGCTTCCACACTTTATATTTTAATCACATCAGGATTACTCAGAAAGCAATCTCTTGCCTTTATTAATCTCCTCATTTGCACTGAATAGCTTAATCTGATGCCAGAAGGTGCAAGAGAATAGAATAGATTTTTATACAGTTTTGTTTGCATCGTTGTGTGATGATACTGTGTGTTGTGGGTGGGTGGGGGGCTATTTTTTTGGAGTTTTGGGGACCTGGTTGTCTTCATCTTCAGCATGAAGCGACTAAATAGCAGTCTGGAGCCGATATTTGTAATTCTGGATCCTAAAGCATGGTGAATTCATAGTCTGATTGCTAGATGGTCAAGTACTAAAGGAAGAACAAATCTAATAGTTTTTGATGATGGTGCATTTTTAAAATAAAAAGTTTTCTGGATGTTTTCCATCGTCTAATAAAATCATAAAATTACACGACGTTTCAGAGATGGGACTCTATCTCCGTCTTCAGATATACCTACTCTGTTGGGCCCATTCGATAGAGCTAATTCCTATCTCGGGATAAGGCAAAAAGTGAAAGACCTGGAATATAAGCCGATCAGAACAACATACATCCGTGGGACGTAAAAAGACAAACAATCTCAAAAAAATAAAAATAAAACAGATGTAAAAATTTGGCGCCTATGATGGAAGTAATGTACAACCAAAGTCCAGCAAACTAAGAAGCCAAAAAACTAAAGGAAGAAGATTACAATTTGGCTTTCTGGACATGTTTGTAACGAATAGTTGCAAAAATGTGCTGATTGGCTTCACCTTATTTATCTTTCCATCCATTTGAATCTAAGAACTCAAGAATAGCCTATTGGATTATCATGACATTTTACTGAAGCTTGTTAACACATTCCAGTTTTTGGAGGACAAATTGGACAACAATTACAGGCATATTACATGAATACCTGCATGTGTTTCTGGACATGAAAGTGACCAGATGCGGAATTTTCTAGCCATTTGTGAAGGTTACGTTCTGGTGCCTGCATAAGAATTATTATGCTGTGGTTAAATTTCGTAACTTGTTTACTGTTCTATTGCTTGCCATGAGAAGAAACTTGAGAAAATTGGCTCTGATAAGGGTAATAAATTCTGCTCTACTTTTATGTTGGTCACACATATGCAAATCAGAGTGAAAAATTCCCCAATATCCTATGGCCTGGAACTATAAATATTGGTGCCAGATTATCACCATTAATCACTTCATCTTTAAAGATGAGACAACCAAGTTCTGCAGTGTCAGCAAATCAGCCCATCAGCAACTATATGTATCTGAATAATTTTTTATAAAGTTATATTAGGCCTATAATTATCCATTTCTCTTGCACAGTGGATATTTAAATATGACCCTTGGCTGGTTGGTCATTTCAATAGAGGATTTCGGATCAGTCTTTTGATTAGTATAAGTAAAATTTAATCAAAACAGTCAAAACAACTTAAGCTTTACATAGAAGAACTCTATCGCTTGGGATTACTCAGTGCCTTGATTCCCAGTTTTCAAAGTTCAAATCCTCTCCTGGTATGTCAGCAGCACTCTTGGCATAAAATCTTGCAATGGCCAGTGACTGCTGGCCTAGCATTGGTGAGATTTTACACTAAGACCAAGAAAGAATTAAGTTGATAACCAGGACTTAGTATGAATTTTATTAATAAAATCTTCTCAGGCCATGATTAGTCTTGTAGATGAGGACAGCGATGGCCCTCGAAACGTTGGCAGAGTTTGTCCAAGTGACGTGGCTGCTGGCCCGAGAAGATTTTATTAATGACATCCGCCGTGAAAGTTTCAAATCATAGTATGAAATTTATTGAAAGATTGATCACATAAGAGTGCTGCAACGGGCATGTAGGATACACAAAATATTTGTAGAGAAAATCCTGTCACCAGGGGGTGTGATCTAGTGGTTAGTATTCAGAGGATACTAGACTCAGTTGTAATTGCTGCCACTAATACTGAAAATAAACACAGTAAAATTATCTATCAATATAATGATAAGCTATGACCTTTAGATAGGAGTATAGTAAATTAATTCCTGAATCATTGTTTATGTTAAACATACCTTGGGCAGTGGACAGTGCTCGACATAACTGTGATGCAAGTCTGGGAATGTGCCTGTAGGCTGCATATTGCACTCTCACCTTCTGTCCTGCAAACTGCAGCTCTGTATTACATTGTTTTACTTATTATCAGTGTGATAATGAGTTATGACAAGAATGGACATATGGCATTTCATAGGGAAGTGTAAAATACAAAATTGTAATCATAAAATATATCGGTAGAAGAAACCATTTAGAAGACCATTGGGATCTGTAGGAGGGTAATAAAATTTATCCTGAAGATATGGGGTTTATAAAAATTAAGGAAAATGGAAGAATTGAATATTGGAAATACCAAGAAGTGTAGACAGTGAAGTTGAGAGGGGAACTACAATTTCAGGGCCAATATGAGAGAAAAGGACATGAATTGTAATCTAGAAGTCATTTCCAAGAAAGAATTGGTTCTGATATTTACATAATTTTGATTACTTCCTAATATATTAAGATGTGCTGCAATTCTTATGGCCATTTTTGAGGAAAATTGGAAGATGTCTTTTACGCAGGGAAATACAGTATAGTATGTTAGATGAAATGCCTTCCTGTGACTAATGTGATAAGATATCTTTCCCAGCCAACACATGCATGTGAACAGATGCTTTATGAATCATAGTAGAAAGCACCCAGCCATTTCCACTGCTTTCAGTAGAATAGCAACATGCCAGGTGGTTTAATACTTTGTATTTCATGTTATAATTGTATTTCTTTAGTGTCTGTATGGATCCCAGTTTTCAAATGTTATCTGTCTGTTATTTTTCCACTCACCAGCTAGACAGATTTTGTGGGGATGACTGGAGTTTAGGTTCATATTAACTCCAGCAGCCCCAAATTAAGATTTTCCCAGTGTGTCAGAGGAATATGCTACCTCCATGTTCAGAGTAATTGAAGATGGAGGCAGTAGGTTTCTTGAGAATGATGGAAGTTTCTTTCACTGTTTCAAGATGTTATCACCCATAAGACTCTTCTGTTCCTCTGCAGATATGTTGGACATATCCATTATCTGAGGTAGACTGTATTTAAAGTATGCAACAGTTCAGGAGTTGATCCCAGTCTCATTTTCTGAGAATTAGTTGCTGTACCACTAAAATTATAAGCTAACCATTAAAATAGTTTAATATTCAAAGGGTGTGGTTTATATTCTCTGCCACTAACATTGAAAACATACAAAACAGTAAGTATATTTTACAGCACAGTACTTGTGGTTTATTACAGCGCGAAGGTCTGTGATTCTATTAGTAGGCCATTAGTGGCAACCAGTTACCTTATGTGGAAGCAGGACCAATTTCCAAGATGTTGCCTATATTAAATGTATCTCAGATGATGGAAAATGGCCAATATAATTGCAGAATATTGAATCAGCTGTTGGCACAAACATTCAGAGAATCACTTTGGTTTGTGTGTCTCACAAAGGTCTATATTTAATTTGCTCATATACTTGAACAGATGATCAACACTTTTCTAGGACCTACCAAAAAGTACCTTTGACTTATATCTAGGATTTGAGGTTTTTGTGGCAATGAGTACAAAGATGGCTCTCTTCTGGGTAGTAGTGCTGTATAGTGTGACAGATGTTTACCAAACGTTTCAGAGGTATTTTCTTCCTCCAGCTTATTCATCGCCCTGATGATGGAGACATCAAGGACCTCTGAAATGTTGGTTGACTTTTACTACATGGTGCTACTGCCCAGAAGACATCAGTCTTAATCTTTATATATTTCCATGATAATCTGTTTTGATTATGGGTCTTTGATACCTTTAATGTAATTTCATGGATGACTTTGGATGTGTATTTCTGAGCATTGCCATAGGTCACTGAGCAAATCAGAGTCTTTCAGGCTTTGCTATTATTACTGAATGTTACATTCAATAGTGTGGATTTTTATATTTGAAATTAGGGTATTTCTTTTAAATTGTTTGTGGAGTACTACTTTTAACTGTGATTTATTGTAATTTTGAAAATGGAAGACTATTATCCATGTCTTATACAATTCAGAAAAGTCTTTAAGATGTTTGGATATTTCAAACAGGCAGTGGACCTGAAACTTAGTAGCTCTCTCCCTTATTTTTACTTTTGTTCAGTAAAATGGGTTGTGTAACATGTACTTCCTTGCAGTATCCATAATATGAATTAACTGGTGCTTGATATATAGTAGCATTATAAGGAATTAAGAAAAAAAAATTCTGTGTGAAAAAAACTGAGTACGAGCAGCCATCCAGTTTCTGCTGGACATTGGTGTCTGTTTCAGATGATGACACCTATGCCAGAGACCCCACTGAGTCACAGATTCATTCAAGATCTGAACAGTATGAACCTGAGCAGTACAACCCTCAGCAATATCAGCATTACCAACCTCAATCCAGTCAACAACAGTACCAATCAGATCCCAGTCAACATCAGTACCAGTCTGAGTCCGCTGAACAGCAGTATCAGCTTGAACCCAATGCACCAGCTACCAGTGAGGCTCTCGAGGCAGAAGAGTCACTCCCCCCACCTCAGCCTCAGTCCACGGAGGCATGAGGTTGTGGACCCACTGCCACCACCACCACCTCCACTTACATTAGAAGATCTGGCTACTGACAGCGATTCGTGAGACTTGCCGTCTGCACAGCTTGGTATCTTCAGAACATTGTCGTAGTGGTAGTAGTGCAGCTGCTTAGAATTTCTGGAGGTAGGATTAACATTCCTGTTTGTTGCATATACAAGAAGCTGTTGTGCATCATGAGGCCTTGTTTCCCGTGGGAACATTTGTCTAATCCTTTCAGACCGCGAACACAAGTTATGACAACACTTGTCACATCATGATACCTACGCACTTGAAACCAGTACTGCAGAAGTATGAAGTCTTGTCTGTGTTAACTGTTCAAAGTTCATTTCTGATAAAGAGTGTGTCACGAAAAGGAGGAGGAGAATAGAAGAAGAAAAGCAAGAAGTTGTATTTTTCAGGATTGAAAAACTCTATATAAGTATTTATTTATTCCTGAGTAGATGGGTCTGAAAGGGTTGGAGTAAAAACTGTAACATGTCTTACAGCTAATCTACCTTCTATAATTTTACTTCTTTTGATTTTTACAGGGAATTGAGAATAGACTTATTATTGTCATCATCATAATGATCAGTAATATTGTTACAATGTTTTGCATGCCAAATCAGTGTATATAGTTTACCTTATTGAAGCAACGAGTCTGATATATTAGTAGATGTTATCATGAGGAAACAAGCCTGATGATACAAATAGTTGTAAGAGATTTGGGGTCTGGGAGACATGATTAAATTGGTTATAACAAAACTGAGGAAAGAGATTTGTTCTGATGTTCATCACTTGTCATGGAACATGTCTGACGAAACATGCTCCTTTGTGTAGAGAAACCTGCGCTCCTAGGCGGTGTAATACTTAGAAAGATGAAGTAATATATGTCTGTTGATTTTTTTGTTACATTTTAGCTTAATGAGATCATTTTTGTCAGCTTTATGGAATCATCATTTACAGACATTTATCGAGAAATATAAGTATAAGCTTTGTGGCGTTGCTCAAAAGTAGGTTTCCTATGCTCCTGCTTTGAACGTTTTAACAAAGTCCAGTCCTGAAATGATACTATTAATCTGTATTGAGTAATGGATAATCATTTTAAAAATGAAATTCCAAATTCTTTTCATTGTGCATCATTTTAAACATGAAATTCCAAATTCTTTTCATTGTGCACTGTTCTATTTTCATTAAATTTAATACTTCAGGCCAAGGACCATCACAAAAAGGTAAAATTAATTCTTAAACATATTTTAGTATTCTCCAAACTGAAACGTGTTTCAGACAAAAATTGTATAAATGCTGTATTTCATATTGTGGTTTCTCTAACAAAGTACTGTTACAAGCAACCATGTTTAAGAAAATGCCTTTGTTTTTTTAAAATAGACTTTCTGATAAGCAAGCAACCATGTTTAAGAAAATGCCTGTTTTTTTAAAATAGACTTTCTGATAAAATATGTATATTGCACACGGTGATAATATCAGACACTGTCGATAGTATAATTGCTTCCTGGTGAAATGTTCGAAGATGCGTTCAAGAAAAAGTTCAAAATTTAAAATTTGTATGTTGCGCTTGAAGTACTTTTCACATTCACTGCCAAAATTGGGATTTTCTGTTTATCAGAAAAGCTTTAATAATTCCAGCACCAATTTAGCTGACCAATCTTTGTAACATAAACAGTACTGGAAAAGCTTGTGCCACATATGAATAGAGGTTGCTTGAAGGTCATTTATATGACTACATTACGAAATGCCTGATGTTTATTTCTCTCTCATATTTTCACTTCCTCTGCCCCCCTTAAATTTACTACATACATTAACACTTGGTTCTCTAACACTGTCTATGCAATAACAGATCTGAGAGAGATGTGCAGTTGTGTTCTGGAATTGTACTGAGCTCAGAGTTGATCTCTTGTCCTCCTGTGTGTGTATGGGTTCCATGAAAGTATGGTCATGGAAGACAAAGAATGGAGTGCTACCAGAGCTTTTGAAAGGCTAAAAATGTTGCAGAATGTTTGTTTATTCTTTTGTCTCCTGAAGTGTGCTTTCTTTCACCAAAGACAAAGAAACCCTATGAGATTTAAGGTTCTAACAGCAGTACAGGTGATGGCATCATTGTGCAGAACAAAATCGTCATCACAAAGAACCATTTTTCGGATATCGTTGAAATTTGCATAGACAGTGAGACAGTTTATCAGTGAAGGCTACACATGGCATGATACCTTCAAAATATATTAAAGGCGTAAAATTGTCTTTTGTTTCTCAAAAAGAACATCAAGAGGGGAAGAAATAGGTCTGTGTCATGTGTGGAGTGAAGTTATTTTCATCCTGAAAACACTAATATCAGCGTTAAATGTCATTTCTTTCCAAAAATACAAAATGGAATTTTTTCTTTGTACAGTTCCCACTCATGGGGTTTAAGCCCCAGCATTCATGTGACCTGTTTCTAAATGCCCTGCAGTGAATTTGTTAATAGAACTGACATAGTACACGGTGATACAATTCCCAGACCCCAAATAATAAGCTTGTAGATTTTTGTATTTAAATGAATGATCTCAGTATCACGAGTCTTGCACTTTGTAGCACGTTATATGATAAAGTTTATATTGATTAGTAATTACTAAACATGCAGGTTGTATTTGTATGATATAAGGTAGGGCAGGTGCAAATGAAATGAACTAAGTAGTAAGGTGGCATTTGTTTTGTTAAATGATAGCACTGCTGCATAGGCGTTTTATCACTTGAAGTTGTTTGATGACAGTGTCGATGTTACATAGTGCACACTGGAGGGAGGGCTCCTTGGTCAGACCCCTCATCATGTGGACATGGCTTGTTTGTAAGTTGTGATAACCTAAGGTAGGTTTTGTCTGTTATTTATTTATCGTCTCTTCTAATTCACGAGGTTGTAAATAATTTTAGTGATGGATATATTAAGATTAAATAACCAAATAACTCTGTAAGGAAATTCTGTCAACCATTTTCTCTTCAAGCAGCAAAACTTTACAAGTGGAGTCTGTTGTACTTATTCAGCTGGAAACACTGAATACAGTACATATTATTAAGAGAATGTTGCACAGAATCTACAGGAATTTTTCTTCTTTATTCTCTGTGCCTTTTGTTACTTAGAATTTATAACCAGCCCACTAGCTATAGCTGCCTAAGGCATAAGTACTTTCGGGTTCAAACGTTGGCCAGGAAACCAATTGCCTTGTTTGGGAGTTTTATTTTTCTGCAGGCAAATGATGCAGCATTTGTAGTCATTTATTATTCGATGCCAAAAAATTTCAGGTGACAAGAGTCATCAAACAAACCAAGAAAAAATGACAATAAAGCCAAGTGAATTTTTATTGGACTTGGAACAATGAATTGGCAATGAATACTCTCAATAAAGCAACTTTAGGAGCTGTCGCTCTATAATTTACTGTGTGGTTAGCAGTTCAGTCAGCAGATATGTCAAATCAACTGGTTTGTCTGCAGCAGGAACATATATTCAGCAATTGTTATTAAAAATTATTGATTAGACATTATTTAGTAATGCCATGTAAATTATAAACTTCTTGGCAGACAAAATACAGGACATCAGAAGTTGGAACATAGATCTTTCATGAAACAAACAAGCTGATATTTCCTAAGAGAAAGATTATTATGTTGCAACTCAGTGGCTTGGGCGTTCAGTTGGTGTTGCTACAAGACACTGGTTTGCATAACGTAAGTTCTCTGGAAGACAATTTTGCTTTCTAGGTATGTGTAACCATTTTCCTACATAACAGTTCAAATAACTTATTTTTTTGACAAAGAAGCTACACATGTGATATCATTAATTGTATTGCTTATTGCAAAACATTTATAATGTTTCTACCTTCATTCATCACTTTAGAGAGGTTGGAGAAATGTTCACTGCTAGTCTTGAATATGGATGATTGTTGTATCAGAAAACACATTAAATCATTCATGATACACATTTGACAAGACATGCCCTTCACTCATCCTGATCCACCTGTGTTCAGGGAGGCATTTAGATAGTTCGTTTTCCACTTCTGCATCTGTTCCCACTCTTTTCCCTCAACATTTATTCTTGTATTCTCCTCCAGGCGATTATTTTTACTCAGGGGCTGTTTAAAAGCAGTTACTGACAGGAGAGACTCACCAGAAAAATTTTATAGTAAAATCTTTTATTTGCACTCACTGAGCACATTTACAGATATACCAGAACACAACAAAATCATTTTATTAATAGTTAAATCAAACATGATATCTTAAACTATTGATTCATATTCTCAAGGTCGTTCCCCCACCCCAAAGCTTCAAACAGCTGTCCCACTTGACCTGCGAACATCTCAGCATATAAAACTTAAGAAGTGTATTTTGGCATAAACTTAAAAAGTACCAAAATGTGGAAATCTCCAGTGATATGAGATTAATATTGGATTTCATGGAATGCATTAATTTGATATTAATTGATGTCTTGTTTAATGAGAGTGACACAGTCTGGGACATGCAGCTTACTTCTCTGGTTCCAAAAGCAGAATCCAAAATATAGGAAGACTTTATTATGGAAAGGGTTGAGCATAATTTTATATCACAAAATTAAATATTTCTTGAACAGTAAATTTTACTGCACCTTTTAAAATACAATCAGAATAGCTGTACAAAGTCAAAATAATACAGAAAAATGTCATAGTTACAAATTAGATCCTGGCCTTGGCAAATGTTATATCTGACATGGTATAAATCAAGTCAAATTACAAGCTGAGAGAATGCCAACAGAAGTGCAATGTTGGAGCTCTGTGTAGGACAAAATCAAGGATGATCTAGTGTCGGTAACAAGCATTTCAACATGCACAGATATTCATTGTTGGAGAGGCCCACAGTTCATGCATATAGTAAAATCCTCACTACTTTAGTTCATCAATTTATGGTTATCCATTGTCTGTGATTAAATTTTGGTGGTCCCAACTAAGTTTACCTTTTATTTGAAATTAACATATTCAATCTGAGCTGAAAATTCATAATACTATCCATGTAGCCTGATATATTTTCTCAAGATTAAACTTTGCATCAAATTTTTAACACACTTTTGAATATCTATAATTCTGTGTTTTGCTTTTCTGTACGTTGCTTATTCTTTTCTCAATTAATACTATACAGACAGAGCCGTCTAACCAATTGTGGCATAAACTATATGAACATATGCTAAATGCTGCACCACGTCAGAAATTTCATACAAGTGTTTTTGGGAAGTTGCATTAGATATCTTGGTCACACAGGTAAGAGAGTAAATGACCTATTTCACACTCATCGTTGTTAATCTTGAAACTGTCTAGTAGTCTTATTTTAGTGGTAATTACAGGTCTTCATCTTCTGCCATCAAGAAGTTGTTTCGGGTGTCTTAATATTTTTAATGTTTCTGTGATTTAACCAGTTTTGTTTATATTGTGCTAATTTTTTCTCAATCAGGTCCATGTCATGTTCTTTTAAAATACTTTCATGTTTTCTATGCTCAAATAAACTGTACCCTGTTGTGCATCTAATGAACTTCATCTCTACTGTCTTCAGTCTTCTTGTATCCTGTTGTTTTAATGTTGAGATTTCACAGCCAGATCAAAGTGATTGGATCACTAAAATCATATCTAAAAAATATATAAATTTTCATTTGAGATTGTCTTTGAACCAAATAAAGCTTCAGAACATTATTCAGAATTCCCTAACTTTACAAAACTTTACTTATTTTTGAAGTTATGTGCCTTCCTCTTCATGTGAAATGTTATATTCCAAATATGTGGATTTATTTACTTGTTCTAACAGTATTTATTATCTATCACAATTCTGCTTCTGATGGGAACCTATCCTATTAATGCCATGACTAGGTTTTGGTAGAGATAATCTCTTTCCTTACTGTTTTGTAGTGTTGTGTAAAGCATAAAATCCTGTCTGATAATTGTCTGAGTTGGTGTAAGTATCTTGTCACCACCACATAGCAGTCAATTAATGTGTCTTCATTTATTTCAGTTGTATGTGGGTATATCTGAAGATGGCTGTCTTCTGGGTGGTTGTGCTTTGTAGTCTGGTATAAATTTACTGACATTTCAGAGATTCTTGCTGCCTTGATCATCAGGGCAATAAACTTCAACCAGACTACATGGTACAAGTATCCAGAAGACTGCCATCTTCATACTTGCTTCTGTGATAACCTGAAATCTCACTGGTTCCAGTGAAGAAACACACATTCATTCATATTAATGTTAAGTAATACTGGTATCAGTGGATATCCTCTGTGGTGTTCAGGATTTTTTTCCCCCTCATAATATTTGTTTGTTCTTTTGTTGGTTCACATTTTAGCTGATTTTTTTAAAATCTGTATTTGTGAACTGCGATGTTTTACAGGTGTCAAGTCTTATTTATTTTGTGTATATTTGTTTCCAGATCCTAAACAAATGTTTTCTGGGATTGCTGATGCCTTTTTCTGACATATGCTTTGCTGTAGCCTTACAAGATTTATATTCAATTTTTTTAAGAATGTAATTTCTGTATGCTGATTTTTTCCCTAGAATTAATTTTAATTCTTCATCACTTTCATTTGATAATACTTTCTCTCCTTTTTCTTTTTTAGTAATATTTATTTTTGTGTGTGCATGTGTGTTCTTAACTGTCCTTTGCTGCTGCATTAATTAATATTTTCCTTTAATTTTCTTTATTTTCAGGTGTGATCTTCGTGTATTTATTGATTCTTTGCCCATATAACCAACAGTACTTTTCATAATTTAAAAGTTTATTTTTATGTTGGTTTGATGCTACTGAATTCTTTAAAGTATGTCACTATTTTGGTGATTTATATAAATTTCACATCATCTGTATGCTCTAACATCTAAAATTGTTTGTGATGTTTACTTATCCATTATGAAATCATCAATAAGTGATTTACATCCTGTTGCAAACTAGGTATTCTTATACATCTTAAAATTGCTTCACATTTTTGTAAAATTCATCATTAGCTTCTTTACACTCATCTTCCGGGGCACAGGCACCAACTGTCAGATTTATGCCATCTGTTTTTAATACACAGCAATACTTCCAGATCAGATGTGAATGTGTTGTCAGCTTAGTGTTCAATTTTTTGTTCCCAAACCTTTATATAGGATTTCACATTAATGTACAGAGCTATTCAAGACTACAGCTTAGTACCAACAGTTATTTAAATACAAGTTCAGTTTTCAGCACTATACAACATGTGGAAAGTAGAAAGCATCATTCAATAAATTAAGAACCAAAGAAAAAAATTAAATTTGTAATAACTAAATTTACTTAAACAGTGTGTAGATTTCATTCAAATAGCAGAGAATAATAATCACATCAACATGCTGTCATGGCTGCCTGTCCTGTTTCAAAAATATCAAGACAAAAAATTCTACACCATAACTTTCTTTCAAGATAAGTAACTTCGCAAACCATAGCAAGTACCATTCAAGCGACGCTACTGGCAGCAACCGAAATGCACATTCACCAACTGTAAGATCACAGACATCTAGTGCTCAAGTTCATTCTTTCAAGATAATGCTCACACAAGGGTCACTGGAGATGTTTTACAACCTTCAAACTATTAATAGTTGGTCAGTGGAACTCAATGTGACACTGCCTAGTACATCACATGGCCTGGAAGTAACTGATATATTGGGTTTTGGAACAATCTAGTGATGAAAAAGTGTGTAACTGTGACAGTGGATGAAAGGTAGATGTTTCTGATTCTAACGATTCCTCCTCTCAGATTATGACATTTAAGAAGAAATATCAGGTGATGCAAAGCAAAGGGGCCTTAATTGGGAGAACAGTGGTGTGATTGGCAATGGAAGAAGCTGATAATTCTTATAGAAAAAAGTTTTCTGGAAATAGTGGCCCCTATAAGGTCTGTCAGAAGTGCACTGGAACCTTTTGAGCTATATTTTGATGAGTGAGTTATGGATACAACAGACATCGAGAAATACCAGTATGCTGCAAAATTCACAGACATACATAAGGATGAACTCAACTCATCAACTGGAAAGATTCTGACAGTGGTGAATTTTGTGTTTTTTGCCATACAGATGCATATGGGAATACACCAAATGCCTATTATAAAATCATATATCAGTAAAAAAAATATTTTTGACACACCTGTTTTCTACAAGTGTATTTCACATGACAGGTACAAATTTCTTTGACAGTTTTACATTTCTTGAACAATGATAGATTTGAAACTTTTGAAGTGCGAAAGAAACTGTTCAAATCTGATCCAACTCTCCTGACGATGATAAAAGGGCATACTGGATTTGAGCAGTTCACTCCCTTGAAGGCTGCTAAGTTCATTATAAAATGATCTAAACTTTGCACTTCATCTATGGAATATCCATGATAACTTATTTATGTCCAGTGGAAATACAACAGATCTGATGGGTAGTGTTATCCCAGCTGATTTTCTGAAAACAAGTACAATAATGGCAGAATCTGTAGAATCAGTGTAGTTGAGACACTGCAACTGTTCCAAAGACCATAAAACAGGCAAGATTTAAGTGTTGAACATATTGCTATACTGTGTCAAGGTGATGAAATGGATTGAAGATGGCTGTCTTCTGGGTCATTACGCCGTGTAGTCTGGTAGAAGTTTACCGACATTTCAGAGGTCCTTGCTGCCTCCGTCATCAGGGCCATGATGGAGGCAGCAAGGACCTCTGAAACGTTCATAAACTTCTACCAGACTGAACGGTGCAACAATCCAGAAGACAGCCATCTTCAGACTTACCACCGTGAAAACCTCAGATCCTGCGTGATGAAATGTATTGATAAAAAGCCAGTGTTATACATTTCCACATTTTGACAGTGATACTATGGTGAGCATTTTCCAAGAGAAGCAAAGAAAGAAGTTAAGCATAAAGAGTTGAAGAGTACATCAGATATGAGGCGTCATAAATTGTGGCCATGTGAAACTGAAAGGAAACACAAAATGGTAGACAAAATTATTCAAGAGGCTGTTTAATACTTTGGTAAAAAATGCTTTTGTGCTCTGGAGGAAACCAAATGTGAAGAAACTGAACCATGTTGCTTTCAGACTTAAATTGATAAAATCTGAAGCATATAAGAAGGCAGTAGAACTTCTTCATCCTGGCAGAGCATCAAAAACACCTCAACCTCGCAGAGTGACTTCAAGGCATTTCACAGAAAGAATTCCTCCATCACAAAAGAAGTCAACGCATATGAAAGGTATGCCATTTGCTGCAATACAGCTAGAGAACAAAATGGAACATCCTTCATCCTTCTGGTATGACTGTGGAGCAGATTTGTGTTTTGAGAACTGTTTCAAGATATACCACACCAAAGCCAATTTCTGACACACAAAAACAAGGTAAGAATTTGTAAAAATAACTCACATTAAGTAGGATATGAGGTTTTCATGGTGGTGAGTCTGAAGATGGCTGCCTTCTGGGTTGTGCCATATAGTCTGGTCAATGTCCACCAATGATGAAGGAGGCAGCATGGACATCTACCAGACTACACGGTGTAACCCAGAAGACAGCAATCTTCAAACTCACATTAAATTTCAGTCTTTTAAACACCTTTAAACTTCATAAAATTTTGTAGAGTATTTACTAAACTACATAAAGTGAAAAATATTGAAACAGGGTCATTTAAATACTGTTGCAGTGTATATGTAGAATGAGTTTAAAAGCTAGCTTCAAGGGTTAAATGGGTATACAACAGTAAATTGCTACTTTGAGAACTACAAAATGTATTTGACAGAGCATTACTTCAGCATGACAAACATAATTCAGGAAATGCCCTATGATTTCTATAGGGTCCTGACTATGTAAAAAAAATACTGCAACATCATACTTGTGTTACATAAATTTAACTTTATGGTGAGTAATCTGTTGCAGGAATTTGCTACTAAAGCTACATCGAGATTAAGGTATTGGTAGTCATGCAGAATATGAACAAGTCTCAAGTAAAATACTCACTCACAACGGCTGAGGATCATTTTAGTTGGAAAAAAATGTCATCTAAGGTCAGTACTTCCTACAAATTAATTTGGAAATATCTTGTGAGTCCACGCATACCATATTTACTTGTGCAGTTTTTTCTTTTCCCCAAATTATTCATTCTTAAAATTAGGGTGCACGTTCACAAGAAAATATAATATTAATTAATTTTGCATGGTAGCACACAGGATGGAAGCACAAGACAGAATTACAAGTGATTTAGGCTCCATGAAGGACAATGCTACCCAAGTACTAACACAACTTAACGTAAAACATGTACACCATTATCAATAATGCAGCCAACTATACCCACACTTTTTAACCCAAAAGTGAAGGTTATAATTATGGCAAGACAACACACACTGACAAGTAACAGTGACTTAGATCCTTGCTGGAATGTTAAAAAGACAAGTCGCAATAAGCGACATTTGTTCTGAAGTGTGACCAAAGAGGGCTGCACTGCTGACATAGGTATACCATGCAAGTTGGGACCCATATAACATTGCACTCTCTGTTAGCAGTAACATGGCAGCAAGGTACAACTGATGGCAAAAGACTTAACACAATAATCTCACTGATAATCCTCCAACTCAAGGTCAAAGTCCTCTTCATCAAACAGAACCTCATCCAGCACTGAAAACAAATGACAGACAGCTGAGCTATATTTAATGTACATCTTACAGTTGTGGGTAAATATATAAATTTACATTTTCTTAACCACTGAATAAAATTTACGATTTATTAAAATTATAATACACAATCCTACATGTTTTGAACTGTACTGTCATCAAGGGTTTGTCAGAAAATTGTATGAAACAATAATGCCTTGTACAATTTGAAGCTTTCACAGCAACTAAATAAGCATTACATTATAATTAATTTTAAAGCATTTTAAAACAAATATCTGGAACACCAAGACAGTGGTAGAATAATATTAAAATAGAAACAATTTGTAAGGGTGTGAAATTGACTTAACTGTGGCTCAAGACAGTCTCCCATAATGGACTGTGTTCCACCATTTGGTCCAACTACCACAGAGTTTGTTAACAAAGAAAACAAATAATTCCATGATCAAATTAATAAATTATGTAAAAGACTTCTTATGATTCAGTTCAAAAAGTGATATTATTTTTCCCATTTTCCAAAGGTTGCAATAGACTTTACTTATAGCTTGGGTAGGAGAAATAAGTCTGGTGGGAAAATCTCTTGGAAGATCAGAAGAGTCAAAAGCATATTAAAAGGAGTTTTAGGGAAGCACACTGTTAGGGTCTGAACTGGCTCAGGAGAGCGTTCAATGGTAGACATGTGATGGTCCAACATTTGTGTTGTTTTGAATATGTGAGTTTATGTACGGTCAATGAGAGATGGTTCTTCAACATGAGTTAAGCTTGGAACTAATAACCATTTGATGTATAAAGTGACACTTTCACGGAAACTGAAGTTGATGAAAGACTCTCAGGTTACAAGCCATGTCATGCAGCTGAATGATGAATAAACCATATCTACTGCCAACGCCCTGAGGATGAGAGCAGAGATTGCTCTCGAAACGGCAGTAGATACGGTTTGTTCACCATTCAGCCACATGATGCAGCTTGTAACCCGAGAGTCTTTCATAATAACCATTTACTGCAAAAACTAGTCCATCATGAACTTTCTACAAAGGCTCTGAACTGGACAAAGAAGCAGACTGTGATGGGAAGGACATAGCACACATGGAGGAAACAAGTAATATGAACAAAATTTTTGTCAGACAACCTGAAGAAAAGGTATTGAAGACATAAATGAGATGATAATTTTTTTCTATATCTTACAATAATAGGTTCAGAGCTTAGACTGGCTTCAGAGAGGGTCTTGTGCCAGGCTTTTGTTGTGACAGATTCAATCTTTATATTTAATTTTATTTAACAGTTTATGACCCTGTACACCCACCTCTGAACACATTCTCCATTCGTTTCAAGTTTTTCAGAGTTCCTGATATCTCCTTGGATGGACTTTTGGTTTGTGGTGAGCTGGGGGTGGCAGAATTCTGCAGAACCTCAATCACAGCACTGAGTTTGTCTGCCCGCTCACTGTCTTCCTCATACAGGTATCTACATCACACCATATCAACTGTTAACGATGAAACTACCTAAGCACAGAACAACTTTACCTTTGCCTTTACCTTTACTAACTAAATACAACTGTCTTCTGTGATGATATGCTACATCCCAGAAGACAGCCATCTTCATACTCACCAATGTCAGAACCTGAAATATTGCCAAACTTCAGACAGTGTTTCTTGTGGCCTGAACAAACCCAGTTAAGAATTTTTATTCCCAGTGAATGGATCACTGCAATCATGTGTCTGACACGGCATGAAAGCAAATGGCTTAGGTGCCCATAGTGAATTATAGTGAAATTGTTGTAACTATGGGAATCCTTAACAGTGCCATCACTAGCTACTGAATTTCACTTGTAGACAGTAACATGTCGATCAACTGATCTTAAGCACCCTTAGATCTAACTAACAAACATATTTCAGGCCTTTACAGGAATTCAAGTCAGACATTCAGTAAAATGTACTTGCAAACAAAACCTTACATGCCAAAATGTTGTTTCATATCAGGTAAATATCAATGTAACACATGCATATAGGATAAAAAATAAATTGCAAAGTACATACCCCACTTATTTATATATTTATGATTTACATCACACACAAGAGTTTGTTTCTTATGCACATAACACATTTTTAATTTATTCCTTTATTCAGCAGTCAAACATTCATGTCCCTCTCTGCATAAACAGTTTCTGTTTAATGAAATTAATTTTACCTTGATTTTCAATCTATATTTCTGGGACCACAGAAATTTTTCAACAAAAGCAAATCCTGTTTTACATAGATTTTACTTTATTTAAGAATGGTTATAAGAAAATTAGGGTTGTTCTGTGTTACCTGAGTTTCTTCAGCAAATTGCACGAACTTCCACACAGTTTGTTTGACAGACTGCACACGGCTGCCATCACTAGACTGTCCAGGGCCTGTAATATACATTTGCTGTTACAGCACCAACAAAATTCCACCTATTTTAAGGTTCAGACACCTGTGTAAATATTGTATTCAATCTGACTTTGAATCTTTTTTAAAAATGCATCTCTCTTGCATATGAAATTGGCAAAATAATGTAATACAGGAAGGAGTGTGGTATGCTAACATTCACAAAAATGCTTTTAGAAAAAGGTAAATTTTAGTTAATGTTAGTCAGGCCACATCATTGCACATGTCACCGTGTTTCCAACCTAACATATTCAGACTGACATCCACATAGACCTCACCTCCAACTTATTTCTCCCTCGTAATGATGAGTTTGAAGCATTGCTGTACAGAGAAGCTCGGCTTCCTCCAAATGCACCCTCCAGGGGCACCTGTAAATAAACACAGTACAAAAAATGAATTCACTGACATGTATTAATGAGAACAACCCACTGCCGTGTCGCAGGCTGAAGTACGTCACACCCTCACATTACAGTTAGCATGTTAGATGCACAGGAAACTGCATGAACAAATTAATGCTGTTAACAATACAAAATGAGAGTCCCACAATGCAGAAAGCACATGACAAATAACAGAACTGCCATGGGTGCAGTCTTCACTGTCATGCCCAATTTATAATTCTTCAGCTAGCCAGGGAATTCCCTCTTGTTACAAAATCAAATGGTTCATCACTGAGACCATGTAAGCCCATGTTGGATTCTATTGTGATGTAGCTCAAGCCACTTAACATCTTTACAGCGTGTTTCTCTAAGATAACATTTAACATTAATTTAAGGTTGTCCCACCATGGCACTAGATGGAGGTGAGTGGTCAGAGCCATGCCCAAGCACACTTTTCTTCCCTGGAACAGCTTTGTCTTGGATTTTGTTACTTTTATACACTATAATTTATTTGTTTGCATAGCAATGGAATATATGCAAAATTATGAAGGTTATAGTTTATTTAGATGGCATATTTCTGACTGTTTGCTCATGATGTGCATTCATTTTCATGAACACACTAAGGCATGAACAAAAATTTCTGAGGATTAATACAAATGTTGTTTTACACTTATGTGCTGGCTTACAATGTAACAGAAATGTTTATAAGATTCTTTATTCTGTCTTTTGAGGAATTATTTTGGTATAACAGAAATATCTGCTTTACAATATAAAAATAAAGTTCATTTTTCTGAATCTGTCTGTCAAAATTCCATCTTCATTGGAAAGTATAAGGACACAGAAACTACAAAAATGATCTTTAACAGTATTCCAATAATAACTTAATATCTTCATGGACTGAGTGAAAAAGTGACAAGATGGGAATAAATTGTGCCTGAAATCCATCGAGTAGAGTCCTTCTTGTCACTTGGCTAGTCAAATTCCCCAAAGGTTCATTACCATGTTCACAAGGTTTTTCCCAGTCAGAATGATCCAGTCCACACTCTCACCCCTAATATTTTTAGGATTCATTTTAATATTATTCTCCCATCTTTGTGTAAGTCTTAAAAGTAATCTGTTCCTTTTAAGTTTTCAAACTAAAATTGTATACCAATTTTTCACAGTTCCCATGCATGCTACACGCCCCACACATCTCACCCTAAATTTTTTATTCCCATCCTCAATGTTTTCAACAGAATTACCTAATATTTCTCATGATTGTAAGCTTCCCAATGAATTCATTCAGGGCCATGCAGTTTAATGATCATAGAGTGCTTTCCCACCACAGCAATTTTTACATTGGTAACAATGATTTAAGCTCTGAGGTCTTCACAGTTTTATTCAATATTTGTGTTACAGAAATTTCAAGTGATTAAGAGGGAATTGTCTCCATGGATGCACAGCCATTTTGTTTTTGAAGGTAACAACTAACTCCATGGAGCAAGAGTCCTTGAAAAGCTAACAGTCACTCAGCTAGTCAATAAATTCCCCATCTTCTGTGGAAGTTGAAGATTCATTCATATGTTTATAATAACATACTTGAAGAAACACCACCATGCTACAAAACCAAATTATTAAACACTTGAAAACTGATTTGGCCTAAAGAGTTTTGAGATATCACTGATGGCTCTTGTCTGAAAGCAAGTTGCCAGAGAAAAAGAAATAATGCCCAAATTTTCTACTTGTTTCTGACAAGGATTACATTTATGTTTTAGTACTACTGATCACAGAGATGATGCATAAACACCAATCCAGTACATATGGGTAAGCATCCACATGACTTCATGTGGACTGCTGTACAGGACTGATCTTGAAGCAATCATTTTTATGAAAAATTAAAAACAGGATCCAGCTTTCAGTACTTTGTTTTTATAGACCTAAAGTGACTAATTGTTTTCATCTCTAATAACTTCAGTAAAAAAAGAATTCAAGGACTGCTCCATGGAGTTAATTACTTTAGTTTTCACAATTTTATTTTGGTCAAAAAATGTGCCACCATAAATCCAGACCGAGGTAGAGTATTTGCTGATACTGTTACATTCTCAATTCCTGCTTTTGTGATAATGTAACATTTATCTTTGCCTTGCAGTCAGTCCGTGTCATGTTATTTTGAAATCTTGACTCAAGATTTACTTGCTGAAGGAAGGTAGCTGTCTTCCTGTTTCTTATAGAACTGACATGAAATTAATTTGAAAATAGTGTAAACTCTGATGAGATAAGAGCTCAACAGCTTTCAAACAGAATTTACATGTATTAGAAGATATTCATTTAAACAACATTCATACTATTTATAGACATTAAAGTTAGGATATAGTTGACAACATTACAGATCAGATAATAAATTAAAGGCTGTTATTTGGGGAAGGGGCACTTATGGTTACAATGCAACTAATTATATTTCCATGTGATGTTTCGTACAGGTCAAAACACAAATATCACTTTTTATATAGTATATACTGACGTCTTTTGCCTACAAATTCATAATCTTTATCTACTAGTTTTTTCTAAACATCAAATGTGTAGCTTTGATTGTATAAATTTGCATACCTATTTGTATTACACATGCCAAAAGAAATTGAGTACCAGCTAACATACTCGTATCACGCAGCCTGTGATAAATGTTGTTTGAAACAGGTACACTGTTATCAAGAAAGAACTAACTTACTGATCAATTAATGGGGCAGTGTTACTTCACTAAGAACATTAATCAACAGCCATACTTTTTATCTCTGGCTTAATGGGCTCTTACTCAAGTAGGTGTCTTGTTTATTTTATAGAATCCATTCTGAAGCTACAACAGAGCAAAGGACAGATGCACCTGAATTTTCTGTCCAGAAGCATGCAGAAAAGTGTGGAAAAGTAGCAATCACTAGAGGATGAGAAATTTAGTAAGTATTAAAATGGCAGTTTCTGCACACGTCCATAAGAAGTGATAAAGATGAAAATGTAAATAAGAAATTACAGTGCAAGCCCAGAATAATAATGCTGGATAGATATATATCTTGTTCCCTGAAAAATAAGAGGCATGTTAACTGTTCTATTGTATTGTTACGTAGCTTACAAACAGATGTGGATAATTACTTTTTAGGCAGAAACCAAATAGTGACCACAGACAGGATGGTCTCACTAGAAGACCTGTGTAGATTCAAAACTGGTCAAACAGTTATAAATTATTCTCACCAACTGAACATACTTTATAGATATACAAAAAGTAAAGTAAATGTAAACCTGTCCCACTACATGCCATGTAGGTCATTTGGGGGGAGTGGAGGTGTAGCTCCTACTCTTTCTTGACCTCGGCACTAGATGGGGGTGAGTGGTCAGCATCACGCCCCAGCCACACTTTACCCCCAGGAAAGGATCCCGGTACCCATTGGATAGGAGACTGGGTGGGCCCCAGAGCCGGTCTGGACGCAGAGACTAGAGGAAAAATCCTTGCCCCCGTTGGGGATCGAACCCCAGTCATCCAGCCCATAGCTAGTCACTGTACTGACTAAGCTATCCTGGCTCATAGATATACAAAAAGACGTAAAAATACAGTAACATTAATTTGGATATCATACTTTAAGCTATGGTGTTCTCAGTATGTCAAGACACCAGGAATGGGCTCCACTCGACTTTATCATTCTGACTTACGGTTTATAGCAGACTGAAACTGTAAATATGTACACTAGAGACTCCAAAAATCACATTTATATTTAATATCAATTTGCATTTATTTACTTTTCACCACAATGCTTCTTCCTCTGTAATATCTCAACCTGTGGCTCATGTGTTGCATTTGGTCCCACTTCTTATTTACGAATTTTCTGAAATTACTTTTAGATACTGTTTGCATGAAGCAGAACCTAATGTGGTTTGCAAGCCCTCAGAACACAGATCTTTTAAAAACAAGTGCCCTACTCTTCTCAGTAGTTATTCATATTCTTGGAATTAAAATACACTGATGAATGATCACACATCATTCATTACCTACTGGACTACATGGTGCTACATCCCAGAAGACAGTCAACTTCATTCTTGTCATCATGAGAACCTCAGATCTCACCTACAGTACACTACATGTAAAACTGTTCAGCAATTTGGACATTATCTTATAATTCAAGTGCCATGAGCATTATCTGGGCTTGCAGTGTTTATAAAATCTACAGGTATTCAAACAACATGATTTCTGATATGAAGATTTGAGAATATTCAGTGTCAAACGATACATAACAGTGAGTTAATACTGTTTTCTTAGAGATACAGACCAGTCAGTTGTGTTATGAGTACTTGTTACTAAGCAAATATGTGACTTCAGACACCTGCAGGGCAGTTCATATATGAGCTTGCCACATCTTGACTGTGAGGCAGGATAATGAACTGCCTTGAGGTCTTCGATCACTCACAATTAGTATATCTGTGTGACCAAACAACCTACATAAAGATGGATGCATGTATATTGAACTTGTTACCATGTAATTTCCCCTTGCACGAGTGAATGTCAGGTATCTCTCTTCTCTCTGGAAAAGGTACAACATGCTTGCACGAGCATTACTTATGTGTGAACAGGCAGAGATCATCTTAGTATGAAGCAGATTAGCGACTCCCAAACTCTATTTGCAGCATTAGCTGCAGCTGCCCCAAATATATGTTCACAGAAATCTTCTGAACCATAAGTCAGGAAATAGAAGAAAATAAAAATATGTATTTCTTAGCTGCCTGTTTCACAAAGAAAGAATTAAATTGTTAAATGGTATATTCATGTGAACTTTATCTTCTAATACATGTGTTAGGCAAAAAATAAATATAAATTTGAACACATACAATGAACAAATATATATATATATATATTTCAAGAAAATTCAGTTTTTTAAACCCTGACAACAATAAAAATATAGGTCTGATTTAAATGTCACATGATCTGTTAACATCCAATAGGAAATTAAACTTTAAAACTGTTGATTTTTAGGAATGTGAGAAAGAAACATTTTAATACAAAATTATCCAAAGAATATCTTTTAAATCACAATGATCTAATTGTGTATTGTATGGGGAACTATTTAAAATAATGCATCAGAAAGTGTTTCTTGCTCCCATGTAATCATTTATGAAACTAAGAACTTTGGCAAGTACTACTTTCAAATGCACTGTTTACCATTTATAACCACAACTGGCACATATAAGTGGTATATGTGGGATTCTGAAAATAGGGTTGGTGCTGTTTATCAAAGAGTAAATGAATATCCAACTTGCAAACTGTGTGCACAATTCTCCAATTTCATGCTGACATTCCAACCAACAATCAGTTTCCGATCAAAATACCATATGAAACCCAAATTGATGAATGTCCTTTTTGAATATTGGACTGTTTTTGTTTTGGATAAGAGTTTTATCAGTAATTTCCCAACAGAAAGTGTTACTCAATTAAAAAAGTTTGGGAAACACTGCTATAGTCCAAGACAAAATGTGCCATTAACTTCTCACAACTGATTTAAGCAGGAACTTTTCTTGCAATTAAACTTGTTACTTATCTGATTTACTCATCTCATCTTGTATTTATTTGCTCAAATAAATACAATTTTCTTTCTCTACCAGATTTCTACCTCTTTATAAATGAATCTTTGTAGCTTTTGTGTGGAACAGTTCCTGTACTTGCAATGTTATCAATATAAAAGTAAGCTTATTCAGAATGTTTAACATTTCACTGCATACTTTTTTTCAGACATTCATTATTTGGACTGTGAACACATTCTAATTATGTTGTTCAACATCATCATCAGCCTTCCACGTCTTAGGTCCAGTGCCTGTTACAGTCTCATGCCTAGTGGCAATGTTTATATGAATATCATGCTTGGCATACCCAAAACTGGAAGAACAATTTCACTTTTTAATTGGAACAAAATAGTTTGTAATATGAACAAAAAAAGAGCTTACATTATAGCAAAGATCTTAAACTGAAATGTCTTATGCAAGATGGTGTTCTTTTCTGACAATAAACAGACTAAGTGATTACCTTGGAGGGTGATAATGGCATAGCCAGCAATGGTGGCTGTCCTAATGTCGGTGAGCTTTCATCTGCAGACAATGTCTCATCCTCCTCTTCTGAAGAGATGTATTTGGGGGTCAAACCTGCTGTGCCATGGAATGAAGCTGACCGAAGCACTGGATTCTGCATACTAGAGACAAATAAGGATAAGTATAAAGCATCTTAATAGTCTGTTATAGACAAAGCGCAATGTCATCTTCACTCTAAAATCATGCTATTCAAAACTAGTTCATTTTACTGTAGAATATCCATAACATAAAATATTTTGTTGTTAAATTTAATAACCTTTACAAGAAACATTTTTATGTTTTTTGAATAAAAATTTTCTTGGATATTATCCATCGTTTACTAAAAAAAATATAAAACGTAAAACGACGTTCCAGAGATGGGGCTCTATCTCCGTCTTCATGTTCCTATTCAGTTGGGCCTACTAGATAGATCTAATCCCTATCTCCGGACAAAGTAAAAACGTGAAAGTCCCGGAATACAAAAACATCACCACACCATCCATCCATGGGACCAGTCACACTCTCCGTGGTTTATTGATGGCTATGAGTCCCAGCATAGTCGAGAGACAGACTAGGCAGTGTGTGTAGGGGATCCCTTGTGATTGCGGTAGATGGTATATTGGCGAAACTAGCAGACCTCTGGAGGTATGCATAAAGGAACATATATAACTTCAGAGAGGGCCAGCTGGAGAAATCCAGATTGGCCCAACATGCGTATGAAGATCATCATGTCTGTTGGGATGGAGCCAGGGTGTTACTAACAGAACCTAATACCATCTACAGGAAATACAAGGAGGCGGCACACATGACACTACTTGCCAATCCTATCAGCCAGCCTAGTTTTGATTTATCTCGTATTTGGATTCCGGTCATCTCTGAAGAAGTCCAAGTTGTGCAGCGAGTTTCAACTTAATGGTCATATGTATTTATTCCCACCTTTTGTGAGTCTTTGTTTTTATTTGGCTTTTTCGTGTTTAACGAATTCTGTGTCTACTATTTATATTTTATTCTTTTATGTCCCATGGATGGATGGTGTGGTGATGTTTTTGTATTCCGGGACTTTCACGTTTTTACTTTGTCCGGAGATAGGGATTAGATCTATCTAGTTGTCCCAACTGAGTAGGAACCTGAAGACGGAGATAGAGCCCCATCTCCGAAATGTCGTTTTATATTTTATTTAGTAGATGATGGATAATATCCAAGAAAATTTTTATTCAAATGACTCATCACCATCGTCAAGAACTTTTAGATTTGATATTTTTTAAGTTTGGTCAACAGATCAGATGACAATTAATTTCTTGCTTCATATAACTGTTATTTAATTATTTATGACAACAGATTATTTACATCTGCAACAATTCATAAATATCTTAAGGTATCTTTCTTCTTCTTAAAGTGTCTATCCGTTCCGGATGTTGGCGATCAGCATAGCAGTTTGAGCTTTACTGACTGCTACTTGAAACAGCCCTCCAGTGGACATCGAGGACCAGTATCTTTCTTGCTCTTCTATTATTTTCATAGCATAGTATTTTTGAGAATAGCTAACACACACACAGGCTGTAAGTATACTGACATACATTTACAAAAATTTCAGGAATACAAAAGTGTAGATGACAAGGCATTTCCACAGTATAAGCAAATGAAGTGTGCAGTACCTGGGGGGAGACACCTCAGAGGGCATGATGGAAGACTGTGTCATGCTGCTGCTCATCGTCGCTTTCTTCGCTGCTTCTTTCTTCTTGCCTTCAGCAGCTGCCTTCATAGGATCATAACTTTTCCTTCGCTTCCAGTTCTGGAATTCCACTTCCCTGGATGACAGTGTTGAATTGCTCCGCCCTCCAGCACCACCTGGTTTTTTGCCCACACCCTTTTTCATCGAACCGGCAGGTTTTGGTGTGTGTGAAGACTGGAATGCCAGACAAATATGCAGGAAGAAGAAAACCTGATGACACTTAACTTACCGACATCAGCACATGTAAATCCCTGGTATGTCAGTTTTAACAATTTTAATTCAAATGCACAGCACTAACATGATATATATACAGTGGTCTACATTAATATGGAAGGTAAGGTAGCCTGTATGCAAGAGACCACAAGTTTTCTGAAGAAGGCAAATGCTTGGACAGTACAGTCAATGACCACTTCCTCCCTCCTTCTCACATGAATAATATTTAATGCAATCTTATAACAAACAATATGTTAACGTGTTAAGCAGAAAAAAGGACAATTTAAAAGAGACAAACTCTGCGTAATATTTTTTCTTATGGAGGCTAGAACAGTAGGTTTCTTTGTGTATACAGAAGAATTTTTGACATAAAAACCTCTCTCAATCACTCCTGAATGTTACCAGCTGGGCTCTGAAAATACGAACAAAATCTGCCATATGGGTTGCATATTGTGATACTTCAAAAAACATGCAGTGGCCAGCTATAAAAGTTTTTAATACAGAACCTAAGGATTGACAAAACTTAAAGAAACATCTTCACTCGGAATCCCAGGATATCTTGTTTCACAACCAGGCATCATGTATATACCTGAGGTGTGTTTTTAGGAGCCCGCACACTGAACCTTCCACAGTCTGTCCTTGAGAAGGCCTCAGGCTTGGGACTTTTTCCCTTTACTGCATTTTTGGTCTGAATGCTTTTTGGAGGCTCCAAGGTTTTCTTGGCTTTGTTAGCAGGATTGGTAACTATGGAAGATACTGCATCAGACTTCTTACGCCGACTATCTCCAGCAGCTGCCGATTGGTCCTCAGTGTCTAGTCGAGCACGACGCAGACTGAAGCAAACCAACAATACAAGTTAAATGAGGTATGAGACACAAATAGAGGCACAATTCACCTGCCATGACACATACCTGAACCACAGAGAGGTGCCACCCATAAATTTTGCCTTATTCTAACTCAAAAATAGTGATCTGTTCTAAGAAACTGTTATGGATTGCTGGAAAGAAGTTTCTCCTTTGTATCCATTATAAGACACTGTAGTATCTCTGTAGTGGTTGTCACATCATGAAATGGCTCAAATTACATAACTGTGTGTGTGTGCGTGCATGCATGCAAACTTGGAAAAGGAGCCACAGAAACCTACAAAATTCTTTAAAATTTGTGGCAAAATTCAGAGGGCCAGATAATTAGGCATTTTATTTCTATATTCTGAAACACCTTAGTGAATCATTGGAAATGGAACTCAGGTTCATAGATGCTGAATCATGACAATGTTCTGACGCATTCGGCAGCCTCTAGGAGGAATTCTTTACCAAGCACATTTCACTGGTTTCCCACTCACCTTACTAACCAAATTCACATTAGATAATAATTTTTTCTGTTCTTTGAACAGAAAAATATTCAAACAGGAAAAAGATTTAATACAGTGCCACATATCATCCAAGGTATGATACACAAGAACATCCTAAAATAAGGGTGCAAGATAAGCCTCAATATTGCAAAAGTTACAGAATCAATGTGAGATTACAAGTTCTCACAGTGGTGAGTATGATGATAGCTGTCTTGTGGGTCGCTGCATTGTGTAGTCTGGTAGAATTTTACTGATGTTTCACTTAACTCTGATGATGGAGGCTGTAAGTACCTCTGAAAAGTCAGTAAACTTTTGCTAGAATACACAGTGCAACAACCCAGAGGACAGCCATATTTATAGAATCATTGTTTTTTTATCAGGATCATACTACCTAGAGGGAAATATGTTTAATCAACATTTCCTTTAGTTTTTACAAAATATATTCAGTTCCAAAGTTTTATGATGTATCAAGATTTGAATGTTTCATAATTGTCAGTCTGCAGGAACTTCTTTGGGGTTCGCTATCAGGAAAGTATACCTGAATGCTCTGTTGTACCTCATCTGAGGTGCAGACGCAGGAACTGCTGGAGCAGGCACGTCCTTGTGTTTGGCCTTGCTACTGGTGCCCCCACAACCCGTATCACTGCTACTGTCAGACTGTGCTGTAGCACTTGGCCTTCTAAAGGTAAGGTGCTTGTCTCCACCTGCAATAATATGACACATTAATAATGGCAAGTCACTCAGCTGAGGAAGGATTTCCCTCCTGTTATGAACTATTTAACAGTCATCACAAAAGCCCACCACTGAATTTTAACTGAGCCAGCTCTGTCTAGTTCCCATCTGTCCAACCAATATTCCAAGATTCATTTTAACATGAGGTCTGACAATTAAATATTCAGATAAATTCTGCAAAAACATTTTCTCACTAAAGTTTCTGACTTCACACAAACATTTTCCAAAGTTATTTCAGTACTGTCATCACATTGCTCTGAATGTCTTCAAGTGATTCAAAATTAGACCTTTTCAGTTTCAGGAACATGAAATATCCCAAGGGACCAATCAGGTGAGCATGGTGGATGTTAAACTCTAGTATCTGTTTATTGTCAAAAATTATTTTGCCAACAGAGCTGTATAGAAAGGCAAAATCCACATGTTCAGCCAATGATTTAATTTTTTAAATTAATGCACTATTTTAAACATTAAAAAATTGTAGCATGCTTGGTTGACTGTTTTCTGGAACAAATTCATAGTGGCTAAGTCCTTTGATAAAAATAAAAGATCAGTTTAATAATGGCATTTGCACTTGTTTTGGTGTTGAAGACCCTGGACTTTTCCAGTGGATGCTTTGGAATTTTGTTTCTCTGTCAAACTGGAAGACCGTAAATCTGGTCCTTGGTCACTTTCTTTTCTTCAATGACCATGAAATTCTATGGCCATTTTGACACAGCTTTCTTCATAGGATTTCAGGTACTCACAGTGGTGAGTATAAAGATGGCTATCTTCTGGGTTGTAGCACCATGCAGACTGGTAGTTGATCATCAACATTTCATAGGTCCATTAGGACAATGAGCAACAAGGTTCTCTGAAACATTGATAAACTTCTACTACACTGCATCGTGCTAAAAGCCAGAAGACAGCTAATATACTCACCACTGTGAGAACTTGTAATCTCACATTGATTCTGGAACTTCTGCAATATTGACACACATCTTGCACCCTTATTTTAGGATGTTCTCCTGTATCCCACCTTGGATACTGTGGCATGTTCTTCAATCTCTTTACTTCAGCTTTTTTCATGTTCAGTACATTTGTTGTCCTCCAAACAGTGAACCAAGATATTTTCTGACCATTTCAGTCACTTTTACATCTGGATTAGATCTTGAAGATACAGCCTGATATTCCATTGTCTTGGAATCCTTAAAGTCACGCAAAAACCTAATGTGGCCATAAACATTTTGTTACTTTTCTTCGGTTTCACTAAAAATGTAATGTTGATTCTTTGTTCTACAAATATATCATGCACGTTTTTGACAAGCAAACAAAACAATGCACCAACTGATGAAAGACTCTCGGGCAGCAAGACGTGTCAGGTGGCTGAATGGTGAATGAACTATTTCTTCTGCTAACCTTTCAAGAACCATCTCTGCTCTCATCCTCAGGGCAACTGTGAAATGAAAATGGTCCTATGTAGCGTGCTCACCGCCTTGGCAGAAGATATGGTTTATTCACCATTCAGCCACCTGACGCAGCTTGTTGCCCGAGAGTCTTTCATCAACTTCAATTGCCGTGAAAGCTTCACTTTATACATTAATTGCACCAATTAATACTTCAACTACAAAACAAACTGAATCCTAGCAATTGTTTGGCACAAATCTCCTCAACTGCAGTTAGGAAAACTGACATCCCAACTCACTGGTGTTACCAGCTGCTATACAAAAGTATTTTTCTGGTTATTTGTCAGTTCTTGTATGAGGGGAGATAATATTATCTCCTCATGCACAGATTTTACCATGAAGTTCTCCAACATATAATTTATCCTTCTTGATTTAAGTACCATAACATTGTCAGGGCCACAACATGTAATCACTTTCACCCTAAATATTTTTTGATGAGTTTTGGCCTCAAAAAGTTAAGGAACATTATCTTTATTTTGAATTTCCTGTGTTATTGAACCACATGGTCATAAAGAACTGAAGTAATTATCTGAAAGAAAGGTATTGGTAGTATTTTGTGCAGACAGAAAGCATCATATTCAAGACCAGCTGCATTCATAGAGTTGTTCGCCCCCTCTCTCCTTCCCATCCCACCACATTTGCTTGTTTTATCCCACTTTCACCTCTAATAAAGTCAAAATTTTGTGTATGTGGTTAATAAGGGCCCCCATCATGATTTGGATCTTACGCTATGTGGTAGGTCCCTTCTGTTAGCAATCGTCATCATCATTTAGGATTTGGGGTTTTCACAGCAGTGAGTCTGAAGATTGCTGTCTTCTGGGTTATTGAGCCGTGTAGTCTGGTAGATTTCCAGATAGGTGGAAATCTACCAGACTACACTGCTCAATAACCCAGAAGACAGCAATCTTCATCATCATCATTGTTACCTATCATCATGGGCAAAACAGAAAAGCCACCTACTACGTGTTTCCATTAAAAACGCAGATTCTTGCAGAGGCCAGGATGGTCAAAGATCATATATGAAACCATAAGCCACAACACAACAATAATACTGTATAAAATTATCAAGCATACCCCCTCCTGCAGGGGTGGAGCTTGGGGGTGCCTGGTAACTGTGACTGGTGTCCACATCTGATTCTCCCCCTGAATCCAGTGAGAAACTCATGCGGGCCTGCATGGCTGTCACGACTGACTCCGTCGCACGGAGGAATGATTCAGTTTCTAAACTGCTATCGCTATGGCCATCTCCAACCTCCTGCACAGAAAAAAATGAGTCTGCTTAGCACAGTATTTTTTAATAATTTTATAAAACAGAAGACCTCCATTTTGTGAAACAGAGTGGAAAAGTAATTTGACAGAATTCAAGTTATTTTTTAAATGTGTTCTTTGCTATTTGCAAAGCCAGCTGCACTACAGTGCAACAGAGACAGAGACAGAGGCAGAGGCAGAACCAAAGTTTTATATGGATATGGCCATCTGTCAGCATGTTTCTGTAAAAGCACTATTAAGAGATTAATAAGTATAACACTGGCAAGGTGGTGAGGTTAGGTTTCTGAGACAAAATGCTTTGTGCAGAGCAGCAGTGAAATTTTATTAATGTAAATGGAAAAGAAACAAGAACAGAAAATTTAGTATTCAGTAGGTACAAATATACAAAAAATCTGCCCATAAAGGACTCTGAAGGATATTTTACTACACAGATACTTTCATGTTCATGTTGTTCTGATTTTCATAATTCATTTAACATTATTCCTGTCCTGTATATCACACTGTTTTCAGCATTAATTGTAGTAGAGGATTGATTTATTCCCCACTTATTTTTTCATACATTGCCATTTCCAGAATTGCATCCCCAACATAAACTGGAGGCCATCTTTACATA